ATGCATAGAAAAACTAGTGTAGGCCAGAAGTGCAGGGCGTGAAAGGATTCACTGAGACAGAGTAGGGAGTAGAACAGGCTGATCTACTGAAATATACTGCTAAGGGTGAGGCAGGAGAGGTCTGCTGTGCCATATGTGGGTCAGCTCTGAGGCCAGGGCTCAAGCTCAGACCATAGCGTGCTAGGGCTGAAACTCAACCTTTCCACCACCCAGGGAAGCCCTGTAATTCTGAGATATTCTTTATATTCCAGAATTTTTGTTAATAGTCATTTCTTTCCTGTAGTTTATTTTGTTAAGGAGTGGCTTGTATTTTTTGTCTTTTTTTTCTTGCTTACACATATTTTTATTATGCCTATGGATCTTCATATTCTCTCAAATCTTAGGTGGTAGAAAGAGAGGCGTTGTTGATGCCTTCTCTTTGCTTCCTGTTGCACAGATAACCTACTCATGTTCACAACATTGGTAATTGGTGACTACCCCAGATTGGAATACAAACACACTGGATGCTGGAACAATTTTGTCAGTGTCCATATATGCTGAGCCTTAAATTGATTGCCTTTTTCACTATGTACTTAGGACAAATAAAACTTGCCTGAAAAAGACTGAATCTCAACCCAAGAGTAGTGGAAAAACCTTGATCAAATCATGTAATGTTCTTGAATTTTTTCTTAGTTGCAAAGTGAGATGATAACAAATATCTTACTGAGTTGTGAGAATCAAATATGATAGTATAAAAATATTTTGTAAAATAATGCTTAATAGAAATATTACCTGACTGATAGATAGTATTTGAAACTTTTTATTTTGCAGTAAAGATTATGAATAAAATCAGAGTAAAGAACTTGAGAGCCTGTTTTATTAAAAGTTATCTCAGATGAAATTTCTGACATCGTAATTGTTCCTCGTGGCAAAGTAATTTTTCATATCAAACAAGCTTAGAGAGATCTTTTCAAATATTAATTACTACCATTGATAAACGCAGAAGCAGAATGACCTGTGGCAGAATGATGCTCCTCTGGAATTAATCCACTGCAGAGTCTAATGAAGAAGAAATACATCTTTGTACTGTTATATACCATCAAATTTTTAATGAACTTCTGTTTTTGTATTTTGAGTTATTTTAAACAGTTGATACTTGTAGAGTTGTATTTTTATTATACACATGTCCCTAGAAATTGGTGTGATGAACAGACAAGCTGTAAATCATTCCCTTTAAAAAAATAGAGTGAATGACTAATAATATTAAAATGAATGATTCAAACTGGGATGATATGAAAGAGAACAAGCTTTTTCAGTGGTGTGTTTAGGATTTTGTATGGGAGATTTTAAGCTTTCTTTTTTTTAAGACCAAATTGTTCAATCATAAGTTTCTACATTGATTTATAAGTTAACCACATTAAAAATTATTATTATTATTTTTAAAAGATGTATTTACATATGCATACAAGAGCTGGGGTATAGGCCAGAGGTGCAAGGGGTAAGAGGATTCACCACAGACAGAGAACAGTGGGGAAAAGAACAGGCAGACCAACTGAAACACACTGCTGAGGGGAGCAGTGCGTGAGACAAGAGAGGTCTTCTGTGCCATGTGGGTAGCTCCCTGGCTGGCTGGGGATTGAACTTGGTGCTGCAGAGGCTATGGATGCTTCATAGTGCTGTGCTTAACCCCTTAAGCCACTGGGAAGTCCCTAAAAATTATTTTTTTTTGTCCTGAAACAATTATTTTTTTTTTGTCCTTACGGAAACCCTGTAGAATTTTTTGTATAGTTTCTTGAGGCAGTAAGTTTCAATTTAATGATGGGAGGTGTCAGGAAATTTGAAGTCCACTACTTCCTTGATATGCATGAGGTCTTACATGTATGTTATACTATATGTAATTGACAGTAACTGGATCTCTGAATTTCAGTTTATTTACATATAGGTGGAGATAATAAGTTCTTTTCCTATTCATTAGGATGATTAAATGAGTACTTTGGTCAGACTGCTTTGAAAATAAGATGCTATCTAGTTAAAACTGTTTATTATTAAGTTATTTTATATTTGAAGTAAATTATGTATTAATGTTACACTGTTTTTTTCCCCATTCCTTTAACTCTTACAAGACTGTAAGATTTAGTGTGTGATGGTGAAATTGATAAGATTAATTTCATTTTATGTGCCATTTCTGACCCAGAAATGCTAATTTGTATTGCTTAACATCACACCTTCAAGTTGGAAAGCTGAGCATAACTGCTTTCTATAGACAGGAGAAGTCTGGGTTTGGAATTGTGATTTTTTTTTTTTAACATGATTTATTCCTCAAAAAATGTTAAAGAACAATGAAAAATGATATAAAAATAAATTAAAAATAAAAAAATTTAAAAAATGCTAAAGAACCAAGGAACACAGAACTCAGGATGAGTGCAACTTTAACTTTTCGTAAGTTATCTGGTACTTTAATACTTTTAAGATACTTCTCCAAATTACTTAGGAAACTCACTTCTTAAATGAAAAAGAGAACGGGCAGCACTTGACCAACGTATGTATGGTAAAGAAGAGCATTGCTTAATGTGCTTCAGTTTTAAGTGTTTCTTTTCATTATCACTTCATTTAAGTTTCCATAATGTCTTTAGTAACAATAGTATCACAGAATCTTAGAAGTACTGTTATATGATACCAAACTTTTCCTGGCAAATAAATACTCCCTTTTCTACTATGTGAACTGTGAAATTCTTGATTATTTTAGTAGCTGGGTCTTAGGTGAAAATAGCTGAAATGTAGTCTCTGATGTATTTGACCTAGTAAATTGTGTTTTTTAAGGATTTCTTTTCCATAACTGTCTGGGTATCATTTAATGGAGTTAAAACTTAGTCTCTGCACTTTGCTCAGCTGAAAAATGCTGGGGGACATAAAATAGAAAAGGGAAACTGATAGAGTTGCTATGGAAACCTGGCCATGGGTCCTCATGACCAATAAGGGAAAATCCAAGGAATTCGGAAACAGGGCAAATAAAACCAGGCATGACACCTCCTCTGCGGAAGGTCCTGATGCTCCAGCAGATAGCAACCAACTCCCCCACTCATGAAAAAGTCCCCTAAAACAGGTTATAAAAGGGAACCCCATATCCTTCCCATGCAGATTATATCTCCCGTCTCACCCACTGCTCTTTTGCAGGGTATTTCAATAAATCTGCCTTTTCTATTCTTCACTTTCTCTGGGGAATTCTTTTACTCCCACGCCTCTGGTCTCACCTGATGTTAGACCATCTTGTGGTCTGAGATATAATTATCTAATTTGACCTCCTGTTTTACAAATTGATAAATTGAAAGTCCAGAAGGGTTATATTTAATACTTTTGAAATTCCCTTTTTTTTTTACTCATTAAAATTATTTTTTAATGAGGCAAAATATAGCTATATTTTCATTTTCAAATATTGAATTATGTTAGGATTAACCTAAAATGTTCTCTTTTGACCTTTCTCCATCCCATTCTCTCTTCCAGAAGTAACATCTGTTAATTTAAAGTAATATCTTTCCAAAACTTCTGTGTATTTTACAGATGTATAGTTATATGTGTTCATACTATATGTAGTTGGCAGTTTTTTCCACGTCTGTCCACTAAATGTACTTCATTGTGTATTAACTCCTGAATAATAATTCCCACTAGAAACGAATAGCCCAGGATACACTTTCCCTTTCCTCCCTGCCTCCTCTCCTCTGATGTTATAAATAATTCCACTGTGCATATTCTCGTGCATTTCTTTGTGCATTCACGTAAATATATCTCTGCTTTATGATTTTTTCATCTCTACACAAACACAGGAGAGGCAGTAAAAACAATGTAAAAGCTTTATAATGTAGTGGCTAAGAGCATGTTTTCTAATGTCTGCCTGGGATTCAATTTCAGCCACTATTACTTAACTACCTCTTACTATTTGTGTCATTAACCACAGCAATTTATTTAACCTCTCGCCCAGATTTCTCATTTATTCAAATGGGCTCTTCATCCCCATGATGTAGTAGGATATAGGTAAAGGATTAAGCTATTACATTTGGAGTTACTGGTGCATAATGTTCCATAAATGGGAGGCTACGTGAACATTTATATTAAGGAGGAGGTAATGGTGATGGGTTCTGGTGATGGTTGTCTTGCCTTGTTCTCCATACTATTCTGAAGAGACATATGATTACATTAATGAAAAAGTCCACCTAAATGGACTGTATACTGTGTTCCTGACTTACATTATGTCAAAAGTACTTAGTTCTAGAAGTGACTATTTTATTTCCCTAGTACTTATTTTCATAATGAAAAAATTTTTCTAATGGTTTGAAATAGGTCCTGGGAATGGAATTTTAATTTATAGTATTATGTCTATAGAAAATAAGATTGCCTGAATATACATCTAGTCCCAAACAGCAGAAAGTTCCAAAGTATGTGCAAAACTGAACTTATACAACATCTACAAGAAAGAAGCGTTATGAAGTTAAAAGAATTTGAAAAATCCTCTATACTATAGGTGAATTTTATGGAGAATCACTTTAAGATATTAACAGCTTAGGTATCTGGAAATTAATAAACCTGACTTGGTTTAATACTGTGTACCATATTTACCACTGGTCTCTCCTCCCTATGTAGTACCTATTCACACTGCATAGTTTTTGGGAAATGGTCATCAGAAGAGTTTTATGTGTTATCTGCCAATATCATCAGCTCAAGGATATGTGAAATTTGTATATTGAGACACATAGCAGTTAGCCTGACATCTTTGCTCATGGAAAAAGTTGAGATTGTGGCTATCACTAAAATAGCAAATTTGTGTGAATACTAAAGCAAATGTCCTTTGTTTATTTTTTGTTTGTAGTTCTAATAAGTCTGAGTGGTATTTTTGAAATAATACTTTCATTTATGAAATAGTCAGAAATTTACTTAGGTTTTATAAAAAAGCATCTCTTTACATTTTAATAAATGTTGAAGAGTCCAGAATAAAAATGGTAAAATTAATCTTATTTTTGCTCTTTCAGATTATATATGAACAGGAAGGGGTCTATATTCACTCATCTTGTGGAAAAACCAATGACCAAGACAGCTTGATTGCAGGAATACTGCGTGTTTTAGAAAAGGTATGTTTCTAGTAATGATTTTATTTGTTTATGGTTGTAGTTCATCTTTGCAGCATTATCAGTAAGTTTGAACTTCATGTGTAAAATGAAATTATGTACTTGAAAAGTGGCTGTGCATCGTACTTTGGAATGATGTTAGACACAAAATACTTCAAATGAGCCAATAAAATGGCATGGAAAATCTTTTTATTCTTATTTTAGTGAAAAATTTTTTTTTTTAATTGAGGTAACATTGGTTTATGACACTATGTATGATTTAGAAGCATAGAATCATAGCTTTTCAGATGTGTGTTACCACAGCACACCCATTAGCAAAGCACCCATAGTCCTCCATGGATCTCCTCTTCCTTTTCCTAGAGAGGGGGTTTCCACTACCCCCTCTGCTATTCTCAGTTCTACAGTCAGATTTCTAGGTTTGTTTTTGGTTTGGGTTGTGTGAGCCTTTGTTTTGTTTCTCTATATTCCACATATGAGTGAAACTATATGATATTTTTCTTCTGGCTTATTTTGCTCATTAGCATTATTTCCTCCAGTTTCATTTATGTTGGCTTGGCATATTTAAAAACATATTTATTAAAACTTTCACAAGCGCAAATTTTTATAATGAAAAGTAAACAATAAAAATTATTCATAGTGTTTGTTGTCAAATAGTGGTTTACATATGCTGTTGCATGTTTAAAGTGCTAATATTTAGGGTGTTAAAAGTTTTATTTTGAGTTCAAGCCTTAAAAAGTGGGTGAGGGCCTCCCCGGTGGCGCAGCGGTTGAGCGCTGGGTTGCGAAGCTGCGCGCGGCCTCTGCGGCGCCGGTTCGATCCCCGGCTGCTCCCCGGCCACCAGAGGAGGGTCCCACATGGCGCGCAGACCTCTCCTGCCGCCCGCTGCTCCCCTCAGCAGTGTACTTCGGTCCTTCTGCCTGCTCTGCTCCCCGCTCTGGCTCTGGTGAATTCTCTCGCCCTCCCGCGCTTCTGACTGTACCCAGTGCATGTATAAACAAAACAAACAAAGAAACCAGCAAACAAATAAATAAAGCATGCCTCTATAAAAAAAAAAAATAAAAAAAAAAAAAAAAAAAAAAAAGTGGGTGACTAAGAATGTGTAAGATATTGCTGAATAGTTAATAATTTATAATCTCTCTCTCTAGGATGCTGAAGTAATGGTGGACTGGAGACCATTGGATGATGCATTAGATTCTTCTAGTATTCTCTATGCTAAAAAGGTATATATGAAAAAAAAGTATGACTAAAGGAGTGATATTTAAAAACAGTAGTTTTACTGAGCTAATTCCTATACCGTAGTCCTCACCCTTTGAAAGTGTATAATTGAGTGGTTTTAGTATATTTACAGAGTCGTGCAACTGTCATCCGTATCTATTAGGGATATTTCATATACATGGATCATAGGAAATGTGATCTTTGTGACTTGATCTTTCACTTACCATGTTTCAAGGTTTGTCCATTTGATAGCACTAATATACAGTACTTTTCCTTTTTCATAAGCTTTTAAGAAGGAATAATACTGCATTTATGATTTTGCCACTTTTTTTTATTCATTCATCACTTGATGGGCATTTGGATTGATTTTACTTTAAGACCGATAAAAACATTGCTGCTGTGAACATTCATATTCAAGTGTGGGTTTTTTTTTTTTTTTCTTGTAAACCCAGGAGTAAAATCCTGTTATGTGATAATCTTTAACATTTTTACCATGTTTTGACTTTTCACTGTGGAAATAGATATAATTCTGTCTCATCTCTAATTCACTTTGAAACTAGACCAGTACATATGTTACTTGTCCACTTTTCTTCTTTAAGTATTTAAACACTTCATATAGATGATCTTCTAAGTTCCTCTTCTTTGAGACTTTCTCCCAGAGCCTTCTTAAAAGGTTATTCTGAACTGGTTGTTCTTTTGGTTTACGATGCTGCAGTTATCCGGGGGGTTCTTTTTGCCTCTTTCCCATATTTTAGTCCCTCTGTTCCCATATACTATGCCATGTTCTATTTTGATTTACACTCTTGTTTTGCTGCAACTCTAATGCTTCCTGAGAAAAAGATTGCATGGATGCAAAAACATTTCCTTTTCTGGGCTTTTTATCCTTTCTGAATTAATAGAGCTTAGTTGTCATAGAATTACAGTTTAAAAATAAATTTTCCCACATATTTTTAAGTTATTGTCTCGGGCTTATCTAGTTTCTCTTATTGTTCGTCTAATGCATTGTATTTATATTTTTTAGATTTATTATATATATTTAATGCATTCAAGAGATGGAGTGTAGGCCAGAGGTGTGTGGGGAGGTGAGAGGATTCACCACAGACAGGGTGGGGAGCAGCACAGGCAGACTGACTAAAATACACTGCTGAGGGGAACATAGCTTCATAGTGCTGAGACTCATCCCCGTGAGCTACCTGGGACACTCTTTTAATTTTAATAAATAGGACTACATTATCTTTAGGAGTCTGTGCTAATTAGCATTATCATAAGTAAGATAGTATTTCCTCATTCTTAATTACTAATATCATTTTTGATTGGGGCAAAAGTTGAAATTCATTTAAACTTTATTTCTGATTGTTTTTGAAGTTGGACTTCTTCCTACGTTTGTCAGTTCATATCTTTGACTTGTTTGTTCAACTGTTTCCTTGTTTTTCTGTTTTGATGTCTGTTAATCTAAGTAAATTGGTAGGAGTTTCTGTATTTTAAAAGTTTTTCTGTTATCTACATATGCTTTTGGAAACATTTTCACCCAGTCTTACCTTTATCTTATCACCCTTGTTTATCGTTAATGTATATGTGATATCTTTTATTGTATAGAAGTTAAACTTGATTTAGTATATTTGTTAATATTGCATTTTAGACTTTCAGTTTTATTATTTTCAGATAGAGAGTTCTTGAGACATATATATATATATATATATATATATATATATATATCTTATTTGTGGTTTTTTGCTAATTTTGACAAGAGAATATGAAACCAGTGGTGACTTAAGTAAGTAGCCACCATTGGCTATTTCCCTCAACTAGAAATCTGAAGGTTTGCAGCTATTTCAGTGGTTCCTTCCTTTTTCTCTTTATGGTCATAAGATGACTGCCGTATTTTTAGGTTTCGCAATTGCATTCAAAATAGGTGAAAGGGGAAAGAGATAAGGCTTTCATTAGGAAAGCAAAAGCATTTCCATGAGCCCTGCTTTTGACGTCTGCTTTTAAAGGTGAAATTAATGGCAACCATAAGTGCAAGGGAGTCTGGACAAACTTTTCTTGTCTTTTTGGTAAAAGTAAGCGGGGGAGAAAAGTATGGGAAGGCGTGTTCAGTTTTCACATCAGTGATGTCTACTCTAACTCACATACTTAATTTACTTAGAAACTGAGATATTATCAAATGAAAGTAAATTCTACTTCAGTTCCTAAATATTTTATTGTTGCAATTATTTTAGGACTCCAGTTCGGTTGTAGAATGGACCCAGGCCCCCAGAGAAAGAGCTCACCGAGGACTGGAGTCCCTGAATAGTTACGAAGCGGAGTGGGACATGGTTAATACCGTTGCGTTTAAAAAGAAACCACATACCAATGGAGGTATGAGTTAACTTTTTGAAATTATATACTGATTTGATACAATATGATATATACGAAAGGGCTAAGAAAATTCTTTAATGTTCCTCCAAAGGATGATTTGATACTTTGATTAATATATATAAAGCTCATATTTTATAGTTCTTTTTTATCTCTGTTTTGTTGGTTGTGACTTTAAAAAAAAAGACTTTAAAATACTTGTTCTGTATTATAATTATTAATGGCAGAAAATAGAAATACTTAAAAAATTTGCTTTGGTTGTCTCTCATGCACATATTTTTGATCTACTGGAATTAAGAAAGTCATGTTATTTCTTCCTAAAGCACCAGGGGGAGATGGAGTATACCAGGATCTTCATAGCTTATTGCAGTATCTTATTTTCCTTTCTGTATATTGTGTATCTGTATGTGTGTGTGTGTGTGTATATATATATATATATATCTTTCAATCAGTGTTTGCTTTGGAGTGATTACTTACATATAGATAACAAGAAAGAGTAAAGCTAATTAATTGCTAGATATAACACACGTACTACCCCAGCATGATCTCGCTCGCTAGTTCGTCTATCATGTGAGTAGTCTGTTTGTGATCTCTTTTAAACACTGAACACTTCGCCAAAGCAGAGGCAAGGATGTAAACCTGTTTTACCTCAATAAACAAATTTAGGGAAAAATCTAAGTACTTATATAGAGTTAAAACTTTTTTACTTGGGCCTCCCTGGTGGCTCAAGGGGTTCAGTCTCAGCTGTATGAAACTCATAGCCACAGCAGCATGAGTTTGATCCCTGGCCAGGGAGGTGACCCACATGGCACAGCAGACCTCTCCTGTCTTGCCCGCTGCTCCCCTCAGCAGTGTATTTCAATAGATCTGCCTGTTCTGCTCTCAACTCTGTCTCTGGTGAATCCTCTCACCCCCTACAACTCTAGCTTACACCCCAGCTTTTGTATGCACAAATAAATAAAATAAATCTTTAAAAAAAACTTAGGAAAAGGTTATTTTACCTCTTAATGATGTGGATCTGAATTAGAATTTATCCACATTTATCATATTAAAAAAGATTGGTCAAAATTTACTAAAATTTGTGTTGCTGAATTTACAGAGCACAATTACTAATAAAAATTGATTTTCATATATGGCCTGGGGAATCATTCTCATATACAGTAGTTTATACTTTGTATTTTATCAGTTCTTGGAAATAGTGGCAATTAAATAAATCATGAACTTTTGATAACACTTTCTGCGTGTGTGTGTGTGTTTGGTTTTTTGTTTTAACATTCCCTTTTTACTGAAAGGGAAGATACTTACCAAATAAAACAAAATATTAAAGATTAAAATCTCAGGATTTTATTATATTTGGTATGTGAGGTGACTTTTCTGTAGATCTTCAGGATTGGTTTATGTGAATTGTTATTTTTTGTTGTGGCCTAACATTGTTAAATCCTTGAAAATGAAAATGACATGGGGGTCTCCCTGGTGGTGCAAGGGGTTAAGCACCACACTGTGAAGCAATCCGCAGCCTCTGCAGCATGAGTTTGATTCCCAGCCAGCCAGGGAGCAACCCATATGGCGCAGCAGACCTCTCCTGTCTCGCCCACTGCTCCCCTCAGCAGTGTATTTCAGTCAGTCTGCCTGTTCTGTTCTCTCTGTCTCTGGTGAATGCTCTCACCCCCCCACACCGCTGCCCTGTACCCCAGCTCTTATATGCATAAATAAATAAATGTTTTTTTTTTTATGAGATTTTTTAAAAAAAAAATATTTATTTATTTATACAAGCACTGGGTACAGCCAGAAGCGCGGGAGGGTGAGTGAATTCACCAGAGCCATAGCGGGGAGCAGAGCAGGCAGAAGAACCGAAGTACACTGCTGAGGGGAGCAGCGGGTGGCAGGAGAAGTCTGTGCGCCATGCGGGACCCTCCTCCGGTGGCCAGGGAGCAGCCGGGGATCGAACCGGTGCTGCAGATGCTGCAGGCAGCTTTGCAACCCAGCGCTCAACCGCTGCGCCACCGGGGAGGCCCAATAAATAAATGTTTTTTTTTTTTTTTTTTTTTTTTTTTAATTTTTTTTTCTTCTTTTTTTTATTTTCTCTTTTTTTTTTTTTTATTTTTTTTTTTTTTACAAACCCTTGTGTCGAGGGCTGACTTAAATAAATGTTTTTTTAAAAATTTTTTTAATAAATCTTTTTTTTAAAAAATAGAAAATGGGGCCTCCCCGGTGGCGCAGTGGTTGAGCACTGGGTTGCGAAACTGCCCGCAGTTTCTGTAGCGCCGGTTCGATCCCCGGCTGCTCCCTGGCCACCGGAGGAGGGTCCTGTATGGCGTGTTTCTGACTGTACCCAGTGCTTATATAAATAAATAAATAAGTCAAAAAAAAAAATAGAAAATGACATGATATAAGAATGAGGAAAAGGAATAAGTTTCAGAATTTCATAAAAGAAAGAAGCATTACATGCATGAGAAAATCATAATCTGACAATAAAGATTTTTTTAGACTAGTGCTTTTCAACATAGTGTACTGAAATCACCTGGAGAGGTTAGGCTTTAAAAAAAAAATACAGCATTGGGTTTTAGCCCAACAAATTAAATAAGTCTCTGTATTTTTCAGACAGTCTCCTGCCTATTTTAATAAGAAGCTTTGTGTAGCTGCGTAACTTAGAAAAAAACAGATGTAAATGTTGCTTTATGTGGCTTAGCCATGCATTGTGATTACAGAAAACCTTTAATAATTATTAAAAATTCAGGAGACATTTTCTAAGCTTGAGCTTGTAGAATTCAAATTTCTGCTATTAAGAAATACTTAAAATTTTTTAAATGGTATTTTAAATGGTATTTATTACAACATTCACTTTTTTTACTTTTTACCTTTTTTTTCATAATTCACATAGGAAACTAGGGGCAGATTTTTAGAAAATTGACTATCAGAAGACTTAATTTTTTTTTTTTTAAGATTTATTTTTATTTATTTATACAAGCACTGGGTATAGTCAGAAGTGCGAGAGGGTGACAGAATTCACCAGAGCCAGAGTGGGGAGCAGAGCAGGCAGACTGAAGTACACTGCTGAAGGGAGCAGCGGGCGGCAGGAGAGGTCTGCGCACTATGTGGGACCCTCATTGGGGATGGAACCGGCGCTGCAGAGGCTGCAGGCAGCTTCGCAACCCAGCGCTCAACTGCTGCGCCACCGGGGAGGCCCTCAGAAGACTTAATTTAACTTTATATTTTTCATGAATTTCTACTGCTGGTCTTTGTGTTTATATACCAGATCAAATGTTTTGAAAATTTATCTTCCCAGAACAGCAGACTGACATGTTCTGGTAATCATTCAGGTAAAATTCTTTTTTTTAAAGATTTATTTTATTTATGCATAGACGAATTGGGGTGTAATCCAGAGGTGCAGAGGGTGAGAGGATTCACCAGAGACAGAGTGGGGAGTAGATCAGGCAGATTTACTGAAATAAACTGCTAAGGGGAGCAGTAGGCGAGACTGCAGAGGTCTGCTGTGCCTTGTTGCTTAGCTCCCTGACTGGGGATAGCTTGATAGCGGGGAGACTTTAACCGCTGCGCTACCAGGGAGGCCCTCTCAGGTAAAATTCTTGATATTAATTCTATTCAAGACATGTAGAGACTTACTGAATTGTTTTGTTCTACTGTTGTGCTATTCTGATCAATTTCCCATGTCATTGTTTTGGAGATAGAACAGGTCCCCAAATAACATTCTTTTGTTTAATGTTGATGAGAGAAAAGAAATACAGGCCTTATTTGAGAACCTAGTATCATTATATGTTGTCAGTTTAAAGTTGTAGTTTCTAAGAATCTATTAGGATGTTAAGTGAGGACTTTATTCTTTATATATTTGGTGACATAGTAAGTTCATCAGAATTAGTTTAATTTGCCTTTCTTTAAAGAGAGAAAATTTTAGTTACCATGTAGATTCTGTTTGTTTTCTTTGTAACCATTTCTATTTCTGGTGAGTTATTGATGGTAGACGAAATTGCAGATTAATGTTGACTTTACTGGATTATTAGCTATTTATTCAGCACATCTCTCAGAACCTCCTCAAACTGCAAGTCATTTTTTCTAGGCCCTAGGAATACATCTCTGAATAAAATATAGTTTTGTTTTTATAAAACTTATATTCCAGTAAGTGACTTGTAAATTTGCTTTGTAATATCTCATCCTTTATCAGAGTTTTGCTTTTTTTTTTTAAGATTTATTTTATTTATTTATGCATATAAGAACTGGGATGTAGGCCCCAGGTATGGTGGGGGTGTGTGTGAGAGAAGATTCGCGAGAGACAGCGTGGGGAGCAGAACCGGCAATTGACTGAAATACGCTGCTGAGAGGAGCGACAGGAAAAATCTCCTGTGCCATGTGGGTTAGCTCCCTGGCCGGGGATCCAACTTGTGCTGCAGTGGCTGCCCATAGCGTCATAGTGCTGAGATTTAACCCCTTGTGCCACCAGGGAGGCCCCTTTATCGTAGTTTTAAGTGAGAAAATTTGTGAGGCATTTTTCATTGTATTTGATAAGTAATGAGTGTCTTTTCCATTAGGGGAAATTTTTACTTCTGAATATGTAAAACTTCTGATAATTCATATAGACTGCATGTACTATAAATCATATGATTTTGTTTCTTTAATTTGGATTAGCTATTTTTGTGCAATTTAAGGATTTAAAAATTGTATTAGTTCTTCATTGCTCTTTGCTGGGAAGATATTTTTGGTCTTTGTAAATGATCTGGTATATATTCATTTTAGGTTGTTCTTCAAGTATATTCACACTTAAATGATTATGGAGATGTTGGGATTCTGAAATTGTTCTCACTTTATTATTAGCTTATAGTGTAATGTGCTCTGTAATAATAAACTGAGCACATGGCACTTAATCTGGTACCAGCCTTAGGTCTGGATTCACCATCCAAGCAGGTGTGGGAACGAGGCTAGTCAGTGTATAGATAAATTGCTTTAGCCTTTCTGGATAGCCTTTCAAATGATAAAATTTTCATGAAATGATAGTGCCTGCGTTCTGAAAGCTGTAGATTTCCCTGTGTCAGTTTAGGAGACCTTATTGGAGGTCATGGTGGTATAGTCTTCCTGACTGTAGAGGAAGGTGACATATATGCAGATCAATATACCTGTTGATCTGTCCTTCCAGGTTCTGTAAACATATATCTTTTATGCAGTTTATCTTTGCAGAATTGATAGTGGGGGGTGGAATTAATGATGATCTTACAGAAAAGTATAGTATGACACTTCTTAGGAAATAACATTAGAGAAAAGCTTTTTAAAATTTCAGAAGCATGGTATGCTTATGCCTTTAAAGTGTTAAAACATTATTTTTATATTTGAAATTGTCAAGTGACAAGAAAGATAACTTTTTTCTTTTATGTAACTTGATAATCTTCAAATTTCTTGTTACTATGATATTGTTCATGAATCTAGAATTTTAAGCTTTTTATATTTAAATAACCCACAAACTCAATGCTCTAGTTTACATAGCTATAGTTTGGCTTAAATTGTCTTACCTAGTAGAAGATTTAGCGGGAAGATTGAATGTATTCATTCTCTAAAGCATTCACAACTTAGTTATCTTTTCATCCTAAGTACCCAACTGTCCTTTAGGTTTTTGCAAATAAAATGTTTGTGGTATATTCATTCCTTTGTTATTTTTATACAAATATGCTTGCCTTTATTCATTGTAGTTTAGAAAGATAATTGCAAACAAATGAGGAAATAAATATATGTATTTTTAAATAATTCCAAGAGATCTTATCATTCATATTTGGGGGGAGTGGAAAAAATGAACACTTATTGATTATTTGCTATGTACTTGGCACTCTTCTAGTTAGTTAACAAGCATTGTCTCTTTTAATTCTTAAAATAACATTGGGAGGTAAGTATAATTATCTCCATTATACAGATGAAGAAGATCCAGGTCAGAGGTATTCAATTATTTGCCCAGCTTATTTAGTTAGTAGTTTCAGTCCAGCCTGCCTTCTCCCAAACCATGGTTATTTTGGGCAAAGCTCGTATTTTAAGTAAAGATGATTTTTTTTTCAAATTGTATGCAGTAGGGCAATTACTTAGAAAACTATTCTCATTTTAAGAAAATGTATGTATTATGTCTAGTACAGGTGGAAGCCTAGTAATGTGAATGCCGATTCCCTCGATTCAGTGGGTTTCTCTCAAGCAGTCATGAAGCGCGCTATCAGAACCTTTTAAAAAGGTGAACAAAACTGTTTTGCCCCACTCTCTTGTTTTTAAGATGCTCCAAGTCATAGAAATGGGAAAAGCAAATGGTCATTCCTGTTCAGTTTGACAGACCTGAAATCAATCAAGCAAAACAAAGAGGGGATGGGCTGGTCATATTTGGTATTCTGTCTAAAGGATGACGTCGTTCTTCCTGCTCTACACTTTCATCAAGGAGATAGCAAACTACTGATTGACTCTCTTGAAAAATATGTGGTATTGTATGAGTAAGTATCAAATTATTTTCTACTTATTGAAATGAGATTGTTGTGTTGGTCCCAAGGCAAACTATTTTTACTTGTTATTTGGCATCAGTGACCTATGTGCATATGAGGGCTCAGGTAGCTCATGTCTTTCTGACTGTTTTTCTAAATCAATAGCTGAGTAAATTTTGCCACTTTAGTCATTTGTATCTGCAACTTATCTTTTACTGTTTTAAAGAAAAGAGTCCAGTTTTTTTTTTTATATACACTCAAATGAATGATGATGTATCAGTAGCATATAAATGATAGGTTTACGTAACTTACCTTTTATTAGATAGTTCCTTTTAGACACGGGTTTATTTGTAATGTTACAATTTAAGTCAGGCAAGCCTAAGTCCTTTATGAAATTTTAAGTGTGGAAGACAGGGCCTTCTCACTTTGCACAAATCTTATGCTTATTCACTTATGCACATTTGTACACACATAACTCTCAGCAAATATATTTTGGCTATATGTGTTCTGAACATTGTGCCATCACCCATGAACCATCACAACGGACTCTTGTGCTCTTCCCTCCTGTTTTGATCCCTTTCCTTCCCTGTGCCCTGATAAATGTCTCTGATTTTTATCATTGCTTGATGTTTAGTAGTGAATAAAACAGGCATGTTACTGGCTCTGAGCATTTATGGCCCTATGGAAGATGCCAGCCAGTAAATGGTAATGAAATGCAAGTACTAAACTGGAGGAAGTATGAGGTGCTTAGGAAGCTCCCAGGAAAGGAAGGAGAGGTACCTCATTTTTTAAAAAAATTTTATTTATTTTTACATTGTTGTTCATTTTTGTAGTGTTTGGTTTATCCTTGAAGGTGTTGTCCCATAAAATTACCACTACCAAGACACCCATCAACCATCATAATAGACTCTTGTGCTCTTCCCTCCCGTTTTGATCTTTTTCCCTGCCCTGACCCCTGAAGAATGTCTCCACTTTCTAGTTTACTACTTTTGCCTTTTTCTCCCCCTGATTCCTTGTATAGCTTTCCTGTGTTCCTCCTATAAGTGAAACCATCCGATATTTTTCTTTCTCCTTCTGATTTATTTCACTGAGCATAATCAGAAGGGTACCTCATTTAAACTGGGTGTTGAGTAAAAGTTAGGGAAGACTTTATGGAGGAAACAATGTTAAAATTGAAACCTAATGAATAAGTGAACACTAGTATTAAAGGGAATGAAATATTTAGAGGGAAAGCTGTTTTAAGATAGAGGAACTCAAAACATGATATACTCACAGAGCAGAGTAGTTCAATCTCACAGGTCTTTACAGTGTGGGAAAGGAAGCAAATTTAAACATGAGACCAAGGAACTGAGTAAAGACCAAAGCATGATTTTTTTAAAAAATTTAGTATTGAGGGGCCTCCCCGGTGGCGCAGCGGTTGAGCGCTGGGTTGCGAAGCTGCCCGCAGCCTCTGCAGCGCCGGTTCGATCCCCAGCTGCTCCCCGGCCACCGGAGGAGGGTCCCACATGGTGCGCAGACCTCTCCTGCCGCACGCTGCTCCCCTCAGCAGTGTACTTCGGTCCTTCTGCCTGCTCTGCTCCCTGCTCTGCCTCTGGTGAATTCTCTCACCCTCCTGCACTTCTGACTGTACTCAGTGCTTGTATAAATAAATAAAAATAAATCTTTAAAAAAAAAAAATTTAGTATTGAAGTAATGTTGGCTTACAGATTACAGTGCCATGAACTAGGAGAGTGACAGGGAAAATAGAAGTATTGGAGATATATTTGGGTTAGATTTTTCATTGATTAGATAAGTTGAAGTGTTGAGAAGAGAGAAGTTGCAATTTTTAGCTTGGGAAACTATGGGGATGATTGTTAATTTCATTAATGTTCTCATGCTTAAATTTAGATCATATAAAACTAGGAGTGATCCAAAAGCTAGAAGGTTTCGACTGTGGTTTTTTTTTGGCATTAAGTACTCTCCCCTGTCATGTTGACTACCTCTGATTGGCACTAGGCATGCTGCTCAGTACCAGTAACCATAGGAAAGTCAGTCCAGACTGCCAGTATGTGGGTTTTGGATTTTGAAGTGAAAAGCTATGAGTAGGCTACCACTTGAGGGTTAAGTCTATTTCGGGGCGGGGGGCCATTGTTATGATTGGGCAGAAGGTTTGACTTTTGGATAGCAGGTGTTAAAGACTTGGGAGTTTCAGCACCATAGTAAGCTCAATATCAATCAGTGTTGTGATGTAACTCATATAAAGTCTCAGAAGTGTTAGTCCAGCTCTATTCTTTTTTTTTTTTTCTCTTAAGATTTTATTTATTTATTTATACAAGTACTGGGTACAGTCAGAAGCGCGGGAGGGTGAGAGAATTCACCAGAGCCAGAGCGGGGAGCAGAGCAGGCAGAAGGACCGAAGGACACTGCTGAGGGGAGCAGCGGGCGGCAGGAGAGGTCTGCGCGCCATGTGGGACCCTCCTGCGGTGGCCGGGGAGCAGCCGGGGATCGAACCGGCGCTGCAGAGGCTGCGGGCAGCTTCGCAACCCAGCGCTCAACCGCTGCGCCACCGGGGAGGCCCATTCCAGCTCTATTCTTTATTGTGATAAGATTATACTTTCAAGAATGAGGCTTCATTTTAGGCAAAGCATTTTATTATTCAGGTTTTTTTTTTTTTTCTACCATTGTTCATTTTAAATGTTAGACTAGCTATACATGGAAGACAAGACTGATATTATGAAAGGGATTGAAGGGTGTAATAACCATGACTATGTTCTATGGGGGCCTGCCCTCTTTTGGCTCTGTTTCTTTCTTAAACCTCACCTCTTCTATTTTCTACCACACACACATCCCAGAGTGGCTTTTCTGCATGTACCCCTTCCCATCTAAGGCAGGTTCCCACCCTCATTCCTTTTTGTAGTTCATGCTAGTTCATGCTTCTTTCAGGGCCCTTAACCAGAAGAAAGTAATTTTATCTATTTACTTTTTTTTAATGTTCTACTCTAGAGTATAAACCATAAAGGCAGAGATTGCTTCTCTCTTGCTTATGTTTTCTCCTAAATCCCTAGTCAGAGTGCCTGGCACATAATACTTGTGCAGTATGCCTTTGTTGGATAAATAAATGGCAATTGGACAAATTTTGAAAAGGTTGTTATAAGAAATATGATGTAGATTTGTTTTCTTTTAACAAAATTTTTATTTATTTATTTATTTATTTATTTATTTATTTATTGAAGAACTGAGATCTAGACCAGAGGTGCGGGGGTGAGAGGATTCACCAGAGACAAAGTGGGGAGTAGAAACAGGCAAATTTCCTGAAATACACTGCTGAGGGGAACAGTGGGCAAGACAGGAGAGGTCTGCTGCGTTATGTGGGTTTGCTCCCTGGCCAGGGATTGAACTCGGGCTGCAGTGGTGGTAGTGCTGAGCTTTAACCCATAGGCCACCAGGGAGGCCCTAGACTTGTTTTCTATGACTCGACCTAGCAATAAGTACACAAGTTTCAGCTCGAGATGCAGAGTTTTCTATCCTGGATGGGTTCAGTACTTAAAAGATTGTGTGTCTTGAATGTGTATTGGTGTTTTAATGAGGGTTGCAAGTGAAACTGTTTCCTTCTCTATATGAAGTGAAGATAAAAATCAGAAAGATGGTGATAAAAATAACTATTGGTGAGGCTTAGATATGCGACATCATAATTCACCTCAACTTAATTTTGAGTCACCCAGTAATCTTTTTGCACAACCAAAGGTTTCCCTAGTGAGAATGCCCTATTTATGATGTGAAATAAGAGCAAACCAGAAAGCTGTTTTCTGTAGACAGGCAGACCTGAGAGTGAAGAGAGCCTGGAAGGGCTTATGCCGCATGCTTCTTACTGTTTCCCAATCTTAATAATCAGAATCATCCCTATCTCTGTGTGAAGCACAGTGTCTTTACTGTAAGTGCGTAGTTCTATTTGGAAACATGAAGTCATGGCAATAATGATCCTTCTTGGGACACTGTGCAAAGTGCTGGAAGAGTATAGTCACCAAGAAATATATGGTCCCTGTGTTCCTAGTTTGTACTGTTGTGGGAAAGACAAATAGCTTATGTAAATAAATGTTAGATTTTAGCTGTAACAAATACTTTGAATAAGAGAGTTCTGTGAGAGCATATTATAGGATAATAACGTTTTTTGTATGACAGTAGCATTGAAGCTCTAAGAAAATGAGATCTTAAGGAGAGGATAAAATGGGAAAAGATATGAGCATAAGAGATGAATGACTTGGTCAAAGAGAGAAACCTAGCAGAGGTGACTGACTGTCCTAAACTTGTTGTCTCTTCTCCTTGGACTGTATGTCTTTAAGTTTATGGTCAGCCAGGGATGTGGCTGTCTTGGGGGGGAGGAGACAGCTGTGTAAAGTGAGTCATCAAAGACTGCACCCCTATTATCAGCTCTTTTTCCTTTGTGTATTCCCATGACACCAGAGACCAGTTTACTTTTTTCCTAAAATTATCTGAAATGTGAAATAGTATATCAAATATTTTATCTCCAAGGCCCCTCTATATCCTCAGCTCTTTTTGCCATCATAAATTATGCCCAGTTATAATAGCTAACCAGAAATAATACATTGAGACCGCATGATAGAATATAAATACTCCAAATAAAATCACCAAAAAAAAAAAATCCCCAACTTTGTGTAAGCTGTCACTCATTATCAAATACTTACGGAGCTATTAAAGCCCATTAGTATTGTTCCAAATAAATGGAATTTATTAGTTCTTACTAGCATTGATCCAAATAAATGGAATTCCCAATATCTATAGAAAAGAAAGTCCCAAATATCTCCAATTTTGTATCCTACTAGGTGTAGCCATAGGGGTTTCATTTGCTGTTCCTGGAGCAGTTATTCTGAACAAAATGATGTTTCCAGAGTCATGTTCCTATGGTCAGAGATTGTTCTAGGGACCACAGGAAAATCTTGGTTTCAACAACCTCATGGTGACGTCAGCCTGTCTATGCCAGTGTCATCCTCTAATCTTCTTCTGAGTTCAAATCTAATAAGAGTCAGACCATGTTATGTTTTTCTCTAATTAACTGAAATTGAAGAATGTGGCTTGATCAGCAGCCATCTTATCTTCCTGACACATCCAACGAGTGAATTAACACCTTAACTATCTTGATGAACAGAAACTGAATGTGTAGGAGTTGGGCAGTCTTACAAGAGCGAGGAAGAGGTTGGCTAGCCATGCACAGTTCCTTCTCTCAACTGGATCAGTCAGCACAAAATGTGAGGCTTTTTGAGGCTTATTTTTTCTCAGATGATTTTCTTATCTATTAGGGAAAACAGATTATTGAATTCATTGATGTTTGTTAGTATTCTTTGACTTCTCTAAAACATGATACTCTCTTGAGGGTGAAAGAATGAGCCACAAATACATTCTTGTTACCTTTCTGAAACTAAGTTGATTGCTGGGATGTGAATGAAGGTTATAGTTACGTTAAAATTGTATATTGGGTAGTTTTTACATTAATACATAAATATCCAAAAAGTGAAATACCACCCCCAAGTTATATTGGTTCTGTTAATGTATAACACCAACCATTTATATATAGATATGCATGCATGTATGTAGTTGTGTGTGTGTGTGTATACTTTTATTGTAAATATTTTGTACTTTTCAGTTTTTTGTTCACCTTTTGATTGCTGTTTCTTGCAATTATATTTATTCTTAAACTTTCCATATTGGTCATTTGCAGTCTCACTATAAAATAGCTAACTGCTACATCACAGCATACAGACATTGTTTAATGATTATAATTTATGAATTTATTCTGAGGTCTTCGGGAGAGGCTTACTCTGAAGCCTGGGAAGTACTTCTGAATTGTCAGTAGATATGCACCTGTAGTGGTGATACTAGACTATGGTTTTAGTGAAGTCCTTTCATAAGATCTAATAGCATTGTTAACTTACATTAATTTGAAAGTCTTGAGAGATCAACTTCCCAGAATTCCATAAATAGGATGTTTAAAATATTTAATTTCCCAAATTAAATGTGTCGTAACCTGGCAGGTAGAAACTTACTGTAACAATATCCTAGAATGCCATCCTCTTTCTGATGAGCTTGGGAGCTGCCTAGCAATACTTGCCCTTTGATTCGCTTTTTGGCTGATGCTTGTCCTTTGACTGGTGCTTGAAATGTTTGTTGATTTCCTTAGGGATTACCAAAGCTCAAATTTCTTTTATCTCACTTCCTCCTAGAGTTCCCCTCAGCCTGTCTGCACAAAGCTTTGAGTATAAAACACGAAATACTTCCTTTTTATCTGTGGTTGCTTGTTGGTTGGACAGATATTTCTTCTTCCCATCTCTAGTTTAGTGATGTTGTTGTTAAATCTGGAACCATAATAATTCACCCAGATAGGTGAATCCTCTCACCCCCCACATCTCTGGCCTGTCCTCGGTTCTTGTGTGCATAAAAAAATAAATCTTAAAAAAAAATTCACCCAGAAAGCTGAAATTTACATATTTGTTTTCCTTCTACATGTGTAGTCAATATTTTAACATTTCTATTTTTTATTTTGATTTTAAAGAAATAATTTTACTCAGAATTCGTTGTTAGAAACAAAATAAGCACCACAGCACCAGCAGCAATGTGTCAGGGAAAAAAAATTGTTCCAATATTAGTTTCTTTTCTTTTTCTGGTGTTACTTTTAAAATTTGACCAAAACTACAATGAGATACATCTTACAGCAGTGAGAGTGGCACATATTAAAAAAACTAGCAACAACAAATGTTGGCAAGGATGTGGAGAAAAAGGAACTCTCCTGCACTGCTGGTGGGAGTGCAAACTGGTCCAACCACTATGGAGAGCTGTGTGGAGATTTTTTGAACTACTAAACATAGAGCTTCCATATGATCCAGCAATTCCACTCCTAGGTATTTACCCAAAGGACACAGAAACGTTAATTCCAAAGGGCACCTGCACCCCTATGTTTATAGCAGCACTATTTACAATAGCTAAGCTTTGGAAACAACCCAAATGCCCAGAAATAGATGACTGGATCAAGCAGATGTGGTACATATACACAATGAAATATTGCTCAGCAATCAAAAAAGATAAACACATGCAGTTTGCAGCAACATGGATGGCGCTAGAAGGGATCATGCTCAGCGAAATAAGCCAGAAAGAAAAAGAAAAATACCGGATGGTCTCACTCAGAGCAGGAATTTAGAAAACCTAAATAAGGGACCAGGAAAAAGACTAATTAATACAAAGTAAAAATCAAAATCAACAAGCAACTATAAACCAGAGACACACTACGGGGCAGGGGGGTGGGTATGGGCGGGGAGAGGAAGGATTAGGATCAAAATAAGGGGGGGTGCAATTGTATGGGGAATATAACCAAAATGAAAATGCATACCTTGTGCAAAAATGAAAAATGATGTAAGAATTATATAAAATAAAATATTTTTAAAAAATATGGAGAAAACATAAAGCAGAAAAAAAAATGCCTTGTGAGGGCCTTCCTGGTGGTGCAGTAGGTGGAGCATCACACTGTGAAGCTGTCTGCAGCCTCTGCAGCGCAGGTTTGATTCCCTGCTGGCCAGCCGGCTAGAATCCCAAATGAGGTCTGCATGGCAGACCGCTCCTTCCTTACCCGCTGCTCCCCTCAGCAGTATCTTTGGCCCGTCTGCCTGTTCTGCTCCCTGGTCTGTCTTCTGGTGAATTATCTCACCCTTCCGTGCCTCTGACCTATACCCCAGGTCTTGTATAAATAAATAAATATTTAAAAAAAAAATGCCTTGTGAGAGTCTGTAAATCGTCACAGTATGCATGACCCCCCAAAGTGTTCAGAAACGTGTTTGATGAAAATTAAACGTTTTAAAAAGTTACTGTTTTTCTTCTTCAAATGACTCAACTTCAGCTCCCTCTAAGAAGCCAAGGGGAATAGTAAGCTACTATTGTCTCTGGAGACAACTGCTGTTTCTGACTTTGTAAGAATGAGATCCTGTTTTGGAATTCATATTCCCCCCTAGCTTTGGTGTTGCATCGTGATACTTTAGAATTGAGAAGCGATAACTGTTATTAAAGTTCTTATCTCAAGCATTTATAATAAACTAGAGGTAGATAGTAGCAAAATAACACATTTAATTTTTATTTTAAACACAGAAAAGTTGTGGATTTATTACAGTTGATTTACTAAGTTATAAAACTTACTGAATAGAAAATAATTCATCTGATTATTTGAAATTAGATATCTATTTTGAATACATTTTACTTATTCTGTAGTTATTAAGAAATGTTAGGAAAAATTGGTTTCCAGAACTTAATAACAACTAAAAGCATTCTGCTATCTGAAATTGTATATTATAATTTTGTTAAATATATTCATATATAGTTTATAGTTATGGTCAACATGATTAGTAATCTTTAACAAATAATTAATGTCTTTGTGTCTTGTGTTTTTAACATTTTATATTGCAGTACTACCAAGCTGTGGAATGAAGCTGGTAATCATTTCAAAATGGGACATTTTTCTGTATTGTACATATTACACTGATGAATCATAAAGTGTGTTTTGATTTTAATTTTTATGATAATGAAAGATCTATTTGTATGATTTTTGTACTATAATTCTATTTTTTTTTTAAAGAGGCAGGTATTTTATTTATTTATTTATTTGTTTGTTTGTTTTTGTTTTATTTATACATGCACTGGGTACAGTCAGAAGCGCAGGAGGGTAAGAGAATTCACCAGAGCCAGAGCGGGGAGCAGAGCAGGCAGAAGGACCAAAGTACACTGTTGAGGGGAGCAGTGGGCAGCAGGAGAGGTCTGCGCGCCAAGTGGGACCCTCCTCCGGTGGCTGGGGAGCAGCCGGGGATCGAACCGGCGCCGCAGAGGCTGCGGGCAGCTTCGCAACCCAGCGTTTAACCGCTGCGCCACCGAGGAGGCCCATGATTTTTGTACTATAATTCTAAACGAGAATTTGGGTTGATTATAATTTAGTCCCCTTGACTTTACCTAGAATAAAACTGTAGTTCAACTCTTATTTATGCTCATTTAGTATTTTATATTTCATACAGTTGTAGAAATCACTTAATATAGTTACTAAGTGTTAGCTAGTATTAATTGGAAACGATTCAATTACTGGACATTTAAGTTTTATTTTTTTGTTTTGGTAAGAAAAAATAATTGCATGAGTGAGTATTCAGGTAGTAATTGATGTACTTGCTAGACTTTTCTATAAATCTCTTCTTTTTATTACAGATCTCCACAGGATAAAAGAATACTTCTTGTGAATTGTCAGAATAAGAGTCTCTCACAGTCTTTTGAAAATCTTCTTGATGAACCAGCATATGGTTTAATACAAGTATGTTTCTTAAACCTACTTTGTATTAATCAATTACTCTGACTCTTATTTTATATCCCTCTACATCTCACTTAACCTCAGAGATTATACTGAATGAGGCAACTGTCTCTGTGTGTAAACTTTATGAAACTATTTTGTGTAAGCTTTGGATATCATAATGTTTCATATTATTTCTAAGACTTAAAAGCTTCCTTGGTTCTTAATTGTTCTGACAGTAATTTTTTCCTTTATCATAATACTGAAATTGGACATTTATTATAGCTTTCTTCAAGTAGGTGAAAGGTCACTAGATAAGCTATTTTGTATTCATTGATGATAAACGTGGGCATAAATATGGTTTGACTTTTAATTTTCCATTTAAATAGGTTTCCTGGGGTCACGATTATATAATTTCCTTCTAAGTGTTTGAGAATATTCTTATATTTGACTAAAAATGTAGATTTAATGCAGGCAGAAATAGTTATTTTTCATTCAGATTTCTATGTTAGCTGATGAAATGATTGCTTATTCATTTACCCATGCAACAAATGTTTGAGTGATGACTATTCCATATGCTTTCTGTTGGTTCTGAAGATAACCAAGAAAGAAGGAATTTTGAAGGAAGGAGGACAGGAAACTAAACACTAATTAAAATAAAAAGTGAGGGAACAGTTTTTCTAATTGTGAAAATTTAAAAAATAGTCCATTAAGAAGTAACTGTTTTTGCTAAAATTGAGTAAGAATGCACTTGGGGACTTAAGTAGCCCTAGCCATGGAATAGTCTTTTGTTGGTTTTCAGAACAGCACTACCCAGAACAGGTTACTTTTGTCATGATGATTTGCTAGTAATGTAATTAGATTAAAATGTTAGTTTTTAAATATCATGAGCTTTTAAATTTAGCTATCAAATATTTTGTGTTAGAGAAGGGTGGCACTGCATCCTTCAAGAAATATTTTTTTTTTGTGAAGGCAGGACTGCTAGACAGAAGAAAGCTGTTGTGGGCCATTCACCAATGGAAAGTAAGCGCTGCATATATTTCTAATGTATGCAGATTGAATGAAGCCTGCAAATCATGTTTATCTGCAATTCAATCAGTAGTAGCATTAACAGATTAAAAGATTGGCTTAGAAAATTTAAATTTCTCTTTTCAGTAAAAAAATTGAGATAATCTTAGAATACTGTTTTAGTTCTGATTTCCCCCATCCCCTTTTAGAAAACTTTGCCATGTCTTTTTCATCATGAGATATTTTTATTCTTTGAGTTAATAATGCTAATATTTTTTTCTTCCTACAACATAGAAAATTAAAAAGGATCCTTATACAGCAACCATGTCAGGATTTTCCAAAGTCACAAACTACATTTTTGATAGTTTGAGAGGCAATGATCCCTCTACACATCAACGACCACCTTCAGAAATGGCAGATTTTCTTAATGATGCTATTCCAGGTTTAAAGATAAATCAACAAGAAGAACCAGGGTTTGAAGTCATCACAAGAGTGAGTAGAAATTTACATTAAAGTAGCTCTTATATTTTAACAGAAGAAATTCTCTTTAAATGTATACCAAATGCTATAGAAACAGAAACTCAGTTTTGATTGTATTTGCCTTTCTCTCATAATTCTTTCTTAAAATTTGTGGCTGACTAATATCTCTAACAACTAATACTTGTCCTGCCACCAAATTCTTGGTTTGTTCTCCATTGATCATGACTTACATTTTTTGTTCATTAAAGTTGGATCACTTCTCTTTGATTATCACCTTTTGATAATAAATTTGCTTGTTTCAATGAGTGCTGAGAAGTGAATGAATAGTGAGCTTTGCATATTGCCCCAGGTTCTGTTTCTAATTTATGTTTTTCTGTAGGTACTAAAGGCAGCTAATCAGGACACTACTCTAGGTCTTTTGTTCTCATGTGAATCTTTTCTTTTTTTTTTTTGGTGGGACCCTCGCTGGTGGCTGGAGAACAAACCGGTGCTGCAGAGGCAGCCTCGCAGCCCAGCGCTCAACCGCTGCGCCACTAGGGGAGACCCTGAATCTTTTCTTTTTAAAGTAAGATTGGGGCCTCCCCTGGTGGTGCAGGCTTTTGAGGGCTGCGCTGTGAAGCTGTCCACAACCTCTGCAGCGCCGGTTTGATCCCGGCTGGCTGGGGAGGGTCCCACATGGCGCAGCAGACCTCTCCTGTGTCGCCCGCTGCTGCTCCCCTATCAGCAGTGTTTTCGTCAGTCTGCCTGTTCTGGTCCCCACTCTGTCTCTGGTGAATCCTCTCACCCTCCCGCGCATCTGGACTGAACCCCAGTTCTTGTATAAATAAATAAATAAATCTTTAAAAAAAAAAAGTAAGATTGATTTTGGTTCTGAATCATGGCAAATCTTTATATATGATCAACAAATTTTTTAATTTGTTTTAATTCTAGGCTGCACATAGTTGGAAAATTATAAATATCTAATTGTAGTAAATTAAAGATCTTATCTTGCAAATGATATTTTTAAATTACCAACATCTGTTAATTGAATTAAGAAACCGTAGAAAATGCCAAATAGAGTTAGTGGGTCATGAATCAATTCTGAGAACTACAAATTTTAGTGTGGTGAAAAAGCTAAATTTAGAATATGATTAATGGAATCATACTCTTTTAACAATAATTTTAATACCTTTTTTAAGTATTAAGTATTATTTAGATTGAAAGTGTCTCAGAATTTACATATTGAATGTTCTGTACTTATGTAACTGAAATCCAAAGTAGCAAAACAATGAAAAATAAGGAAGGCGTCTCCCTGATGGTGCAGTAGGTTAAATCACAGCATTATGAAACAATCCGCAGCCACTGCAGCATGAGGCCAATCCCTGGGCAGCCAGGGAGCTAACCCACATGGCACAGCAGACCTCTCCTGTCTTGCCCACTGCTCCCCTCAGCAGTGTATTTCAGTCACAGCCTGTGCTGCTACTCTGTGGTGAATCCTCAAACCCCTCCCACCCGCCCACACACCTCTGGCCTGTATCCCAGTTCTTGTATGCATAAATAAATAAATCTTAAAAAAAAATAAAAATAAGGAAGATTTTAGAAGTGTTAGAATTCGTGTCTGAGTAACAATATTTTAGTTTGTTTTTATATACCTTGATTTCATTTCACTGGGTCCCCATGTACTCCTTATTATTTTCTTTTTTAGATTGATTTGGGAGAACGACCTGTTGTCCAAAGGAGAGAACCAGTATCACTGGAAGAATGGAATAAGAACATTGATGCCGAAGGAAGAATTTTAAATGTGGAGAATATGAAGCAGATGATATTTAGAGGGGTAAGTTCTTTGAATATGTATTACATTTTAACTTGATGATATGCAGTTTTCCCCCTTTTACATTTTTTAGGGGGCAGAGAGAAATGAATTTTGATGACTGATAACTTAAAATTGGACAAAGTGATACTCTTGTGAGATCTCAGAGGATTGAGTGGGCAGAGATCATTAAGCCTATGGAAGTTTTTCTTTCCTACTTGAAGTTTTTGTGGGTTATTTGCAAGAGGCATATATCCTTGGATAGTAAGGACTGGATTTAGAAAGACCAATCAGCCCTGCTGTCTGTATTATACAGTCTACAGTATACACTGTATACAGATTAAGCTTTTGTCAACTAAAGTTTTCAGAATCTTGAAGTCAAAAACAATGTAGTATTCATTGACTTGAGCTATTTTTATCTATCAATCTATCTTCTAAATATTAGTCTCCCTGTTTATTTATATGAAATTTTTGCATTCTTTGTCAGTGTATTTAACATGCATGTTTTCTTTAGGGACTTAGTCATGCATTGAGAAAGCAAGCATGGAAATTTCTTCTTGGTTATTTTCCTTGGGACAGTACCAAGGAGGAAAGAACTCAGTTACAAAAACAAAAAACGTAAGTAATAGTCTTTTTTGGTGTACTTCAAAGAAATTCAAATAACTCACCCTACATACAAATTAGTATGGAGGAGTTGGAATAGAGTAGAATATGGGAAAGTAATTTTATTTTCATCATTTCAATTTACAAATTATAGTTATTTCAAAACAAACACTTCTAAGAAGGACCTCATTGCAGTTATGTTGGAGAATTTATTAAAAAATGGTTAAAAAAAACTCCAGTCCACTTGCATAAACATTTTTTTTAAAGATTTATTTATATATCCATACCAGAGCTGGGGTACAGGCCAGAGATGCAGTGGGTGAGAGGATTCACCAGAGACAGAGTGGGGAACAGAACAGGCAGACTGACTGAAATACACTGCTGAGGGGAACAGCGGGCGAGACAGGAGAGGTCTGCTGTGCCATGTGGGTTGCTCCCTGGCTGGCCAGGGATCGAACTCATGCTGCAGAGGCTGCGGATTGCTTCATAGTGGGGTGCTTAACCCCTTGCACCATCAGGGAGGCCCATATAAACATTTTGCATACTTAAAAGATAACTAATTAGATAGCAGTTTTTTAATCTCTCATTCACCTTGACTTAGTTTTTTATATTTTATTATGAAACTATAAAAATTGTCCATAAGGAGTATATTCACTGTTTAGATTAATTACCTTGGGTGCGCTTGTAAAATAGACTGGTTTTTGTTTTGTTTTGTTTTGCTTTTGTGGAGGGGGGAGAGGGTTTCCATTTTTTTTTTTTTTTTAAGATTTATTTATTTATTTATACAAGCACCGGGTAAAGTCAGAAGTGCAGGAGGGTGAGAGAATTCACCAGAGCCAGAGCGGAGAGCAGAGCAGGCAGACTGACGAAGTACACTGCTAAGGGGAGCAGCGGGCAGGAGAGGTCTGCGCGCCATGTGGGACCCTCCCCTGGAGGCCGGGGATTGAACCGGGGCTACAGAGGCTGCGGGCAGCTTCGCAACCCAGCGCTCAACCACTGTGCCACCGGGGAGGCCCCCAGGAGAGGGTTTCTACTTTTTAATAATTTCTCAGATTTGAAAATTTTCACATACCATCTTTTCAGATACCGTTATTCCCAATTTTCATTCTTGCCTTTGATTTAAAGTTCACTCTCAAACATTATGTGCTGCCTATTCAGACTTTGAGATAATTATATCTTTTTTTAGATATGTTCACCATTCCTTCTAAGAGGTTGTCACAGATTTCTAAGTATTACATGGATTGGTAAATGGAACTCATGTCACGTTAAGAAAAATTGTAGATGTATATGTGTATGTGTAATCATTTAGAAATTTCAGCAAAAATATTTAATGACTAGAGTAATTGTTGGTATGATATTAAGGATTGAGTTAAATATTTCCTGAAAATCATATCTAAAATTATTCTATTAGTTTAAACAAAGTTTGTGACATATATAGGTTATTGGGTTTTTTTTTATTTTACTTTAAACTTTTCAGTAGTATATTTATTAAGAATAACTAAACATTTTATTAATTTTATGTTAAATTTACTGAAGTTTCTAGACAAGTCATGCAAAATAGTCATAAACTTTTTTTGAAAGGAGGAGTCTACATTTGACCACAAAATCATGTTAATAGTGAGGGCTATGATGTTTATTTAAAGTTCCTATTTTGGTTCAAACAATCATTTAGAGTGTCTTTCCATTTATCGTGTCTGAATAAAGTTAATTTTAGCTAGAGAGGATAGTCTCAATAACTGGTTAACTGCTTTTAACCACTGCAATTAGATCACCTTAAAAAGGGGGAAAGGAACTCTTAAAATTAAAACTATTCCCCCCTCAAAAAAACAGTAAAATAATATACTCCTGAAGCTACCCCAGACAACTGCATTCACAGTATGTTTCATACTTACACCATAATTGGGGGAATGAATAAAAGCAAAGAGGGACCAGTGTTTTTAAATGTTTTGCTATAATCCAGATACTACTACTGGCCTCTGCTCATTTATAGCAGTGAATCGGGAGAAGACATAGATTTGCAAAAGTGCATTTACTCACCAAAGGATTGAAGATACCTGGGCTTTTAGTCTGTAATGTCTCTTAAGACTGTGTCCATTAATGGCAAACAAAAAAGGGAGAAGACTTGGCAGAACAGAAGTGTTGCACACTTGATGATATTGATGTAAATATTCATGGCATATAACCTAGTCTGTGCGCAAGCTGTTTCTATGACTTGAACTTCGTTAGTCTTCCTCTGCTCTGCTATATCATTTGCTGCTAATGGATCATCTGGATTTGGAGCACTTAACAGAGTCTGGATTGATAGCAGAACTGTGCAGACCTGCAGTACTGGACACCACTGACCTTTTATAATATCTAAACATGTTCTTTCCAATTTGTCTATGTTAGGATGATAAATTTTGGTAATGAAACATACTTTAGGGGCTGTTCCTGGGTATTCATCTGGACGGAATAGTTCAGGTTAAAAATCCCATCCTTAGAGAGGGAAGCCTAGGGGGTCAGCATTGACCATTTGAAAATAATGGATGTTGCTTTCATCTGGTTCTGCTTAAATGCTGGGGATTGGTTCTCCCAGCAAACACTGGGTTTCCCTGATAATCCTGCCTGGCAGCCTGGTATCTTGTCAGATCCCGAGTTCAGCCTGTGGTCCTTTGCTATCATATTTATAAACTTAATCCCACTGGCATCATAAATGCTTTTATGTATTATGTGTTGAAAAACTCAAAAATTTTTAAATAAAAATTTCAAACATCTTCAATGTAAAATTGTTTTCTACAGTGATGAATACTTCAGGATGAAACTACAGTGGAAATCTGTCAGTGAGGAACAAGAGAAGAGAAATTCGAGATTACGAGATTATAGAAGCCTGATTGGTAATTTTTCTTAATAATTTTGGAAATGCAATAGAAGAGTTTGCCTTGAAGTCATCAAAGAGTTCAGAAGTGAGGATACATGCTAGAGTTAGGGTTCAAAGAGAAATCAGAATTGGAGAGTACAATAGAATGTACATTTTATGTTCTTGGTTTTTCCTCTTGCAATAGAAATATGAGTTCAGTCACTATAAGTAGTGATAGATTTCATTTTTATTTCCAAAATGTGAACTTTAAAAAGTGTTTAACTTTATTTGCCTGTTGAATTAATTTCATTTAAAAACATTTTCTTCCTCATTACAATAAGTTTGTGTTTATTATAGAGTAATTAGTAACCATATGACTAAAGGGAAGACAATAAAAGTTTTTTTCTGCTATGCAGAGGTAATTATGGTTAGTAGGCTTGGTTTATAGCCTCCATATCTTCACTAAATATGCATCTATTTCTTTTTTTAATTAAATGACTCCAGTTAGTAAGTTTTTGTATTTGAAGATTGAATAACTGTTCATCTGGGAATAGCTATTCTTCTTCAAAGAGATGCTTGATAGAATTTTACATTAAAATAATTATACTTATTTATAAGAAGTATGTACTGAGTGATCTGACTTTTAGGATAGAGACCAGATGGTATAAGTTATTGGAGAAATGTGTAAGCTGTTGCTGTACATGGTCTACCCAACAAATTTCAGTTTATAGTTTCCATCTTAATGATAAGAAATTTAAAGAATTGAGGGCATAAATGACTTGTTCAGGGTTACATGGTTGATAAGGGCAGTACCCATTTTTAGTGCTCTTAACTTTCTTGTTACGTAGCCTCTATAATTTACGGAAGCTTTGGATAGTAGTGGAATGTCTTAATATTATTATATTGTATTTAGATTCCTGTATCTATAGCTTCATAAATAAAGATAGAGGGATGTCTTTTATCATCACAGTCATCATCACCATTTCATGGAGAAAAACATTTTCTAAATTATAATTGGAAAGCTTAACATGACAGACTAATTTGGTTGTTTTTGCATACATGATAAAAGATGCTGAGATCTTTTTGGCAATAGGAATTTTACTGATGGGGGCCTCCCTGGTGGCCTAAGGATTAAGTCTCAACACTACCACAGTGAAGGCCCACTGTACCATCCTGGGTTTGATTCCCGGCCAGGGAGCTAACCCACATGGTGTAGCAGACCTCTCCTGTTTTGTCCAAGTCTCCCCTTAGCAGTGTATTTCAGTAGAGCTGCCTGTTCTGCTCCCGACTCTATTCTGGTGAATCCTCTCACTTCCCACACCTCTGGCCTACACCCCAGTTCTTCTATACAGAAATAAATAAAACCTATTAAAAAGATAGTAATTTTATTGAAAAAGAAAATTTTTATTTTTCTGAAAAATAGATTATACCAGAATAAAATGTGTCCTTCCTCTGGTTAAGGCAAATAGGTTGGGGATTTTGAGGCACAGAGTTATCTGAACTTTCCAACTGAAACCTAGTGCTGTTTTGTTTCAGTAGGGAAAATGAAAATAGAATTTTTCCCTATGTGAACACAAGGTATTTGAACTAGAAGGGATCTTAGAGATCAATTAACTTGTATTTTCTTTCCACAATCTGTTTCCTCTTCATTTTTTATCAAGCAATAGCAATGATGACTCTGTGATAAAGGTCTCACTTTTTCTAGGAAATTGGAGGGAAGTTTAGATGTTTTAAGTCTCCCATGGTATAATCTGAATGAAGAAACACTTCAGTCCTGTTTTCTTATTTTTAAAAGATAAAAATGAAAAAAACCAGAAAAGATGACTAAATTGTTTTAAGCCTTCCATCTACCTTGTTAATTTCCATACTCTTGACTCATTCATAATCAGATTTAATTCTTTTTTTAAAAAGATTTATTTATGCATACAAGAGCTGGGGTACAGGCCAGAGGTGTGGGGGGTGTGTGTGAAAGGATTCACCAGAGACAGAGTGGGAAACGGAATAGGAAGATTGACTGAAGTACACTGCTGAGGGGAGCAGCGGGCAGATCAGGAGAGGTCTGCTGCGCCATGTGAGTTGCTCCCTGGCCAGCCAGGGGATGGAATTCGTGCTGTAGAGGCTGCGGACAGCTTCATAGGTTGCGTCTTAACCCCTGCACCGGCAGGGAGGCCCCACATTTAATTCTTAATTGGCCTTTCAGCTATACCACGCTTTCTACCAGTAGAAATATATATAACAAGTTGATTTCAGAGCATTGTTTTTTATAGTACTTTTCCCCAAAAATATTATTTGGGGGTCCTCCCTGGTGGCGCAGTGGGTGGAGCGCCGCGCTGTGAAGCTGTCTGCAGCCTCTTCAGTGGGGGTTCGATTCCCGGCCAGCCAGGGAGAGACCCACGTGGTGTGGCAGACCTCTCCTGGCTCGCCCACTGCTCCCCTCAGCAGTGTATTTCAGTGGTCTACCTGTTCTGCACCCTGCTCTGTCTCTGGTGAATTCTCTCACACTCCCGCACCTCTGACCTGTACCCCAGTTCTTGTATAAATAAAAAAATAAATCTTTTTTTTTTAAAAGAAAAATCATTTTTTAAAAAAGGTATTATTTGGAAGATTATCCAAAGTTTTTAAATATAAATTCATTCTATTAAGTGCGCGCGTGTGCACACACACGTAAGGTATAGGCCTTGTAGACTGGTCAGAAAGTTGTATTTTAAGAATGAAGAAAAGCTTCTTAAGTAAATAAATATGAAGGCGCATTTTAAGTAGGTCCATCTCATTTATATTTTATACTAAAGATTTATTTTATGCATACAATAACTGGGGTATAGGCCAGATATGTGGGGGTTTTGAGAATTTATCAGAGACAGAGTGGAGAGCAGGTGGATCTACTGAAATACACTGCTGAGGGGAGCAGCAGGTGAGACAGGAAAGATCTGCTGCACCTTGTGGGTTAGCTCCCTGGCAGGAGCAGACTCATGCGGGGGATTTAACTCATGCTGCAATGGCTGGTGATTGCTTGACAGAGTTGAGACTTTCCTCAGGGAGGCCCCTCATTTATATTTTAAAGTCATTTTTTTCTGCTGTTTGAAGAATGAATCCAGGTAAGAGTAGGAACAGGGAGACCAATTATTGTAAGTGACTCCAAGCAAGAGTTGATGGTATCAAAGATACAGAGAAGTACATGGAATTATATTTTGCGATAAACTTGGTAAGAGTTTCTGGTGTATTAAATGTGAGGTATCAAGGGGAAAAAATAATCAAGGAATGGACTACATTTCTTGAGAAATTGGGCAGTTGGTGTTGCTGCCATTAATGAGATGAGGAGAATGGAATATGGTGAAATTGTATTAAATCTTAGATAAATATACTTCTAGGTAAGACATACCAATGAAATGTCAATTGGGTAGTTGAATAATATGGAGTAGTGTGGGTAGGGGATTTAAATTTGGGTGTAATCCTCAAAGACATCTTTACAGACACATCACCCAAAGCAGTGATAGTGAAGGCAAAGATAAACAGCTGGGTCTACATCAAATTAAAGAGCTTCTGCACAGAAAAAGAGACAATAACAAAAACAAAGAGAAACCCTACTGACTGGGAGAACATTTTTGCACACACTAATGATAAAGGACTGATCACAAAAATCTGCAAAGAGCTGATGAGACTCAACAACAACAAAGAAAATAATCCAGTCAAAAAATGGGCAGAAGAGCTAAAAAGAAACTTCTCTGAAGAGGAAATGCAAATGGCCAACAGACATATGAAAAAATGTTCAACATCACTTGTAATCAGGGAAATGCAAATCAAAACTACAATGAGGTACCATCTCACACCAGTGAGAATGGCACACATTAAAAAACCTAGCAACAGCAAATGTTGGCAAGGTTGTGGAGAAAATGGAACTCTCCTGCACTGCTAGTGGGAGTGCAAACTGGTCCAGCCATTATGGAAAGCTGTGTGGAGATTCCTCAACCTACTAAAGATAGAGCGTCCATATGATCCAGCAATTCCACTCTTAGGTTATTTACCCAAAGGACACAGAAACATTAATTCCAAAGGTCACCTGCACCCCTATGTTTATAGCAGCACTATTTGCAATAGCTAAGCTTTGGAAACAACCCAAATGCCCAGAAACAGATGACTGGATCAGGAAGATGTGGTACATATACACAATGGAATATTACTCAGCAATCAAAAAAGATAAACATGCAATTTGCAGCAACATGGATGGAGCTGGAAGGGATCATGCTCAGCGAAATAAGCCAGAAAGAAAATACCAGATGGTCTCACTGATAGCAGGAATCTAGAAAACCTAAATAAGGGACCAGGAAAAAGAATAACTATAAGAAAGAAAAAATCAAAATCAACAAACAACTATGAACCAGAGACACACTATGGGGGGTGGGGTAGGGAAAGGAGGGATTGGAGTCAAAATCAGGGGGTTGCAATTGTTTGGGGAATATAAAAAACAATTCATTATGGAGAGAAATATTTAAACAAAATAGATGTTGCATTGCACTTGAACAATCTACACACTTTGACTATGCATACTGATAGTAAATAAACTGGAAAGTGAGGCATCTAAAAAAATAAATTGCTACTAAAAAAAATAAATTTGGGTGTAATCAGTATAAACAACCATGGGAATAGACGATATCACATAGAGAAAAACGGGGAGGGGATAAAAAGACCCGGGAACTCCAGTGTTTTAAGACAGTGGTTCCTGTGTTGGCTGCACGTTAGAACTACCTGGTATCTTTTAGAATATCACATTGATTATTATAAACATTCATTTATCCATTAAATAATTATGTAGTACCTATTATACTAGACTTTCCTCTAGGCATTAGAATTCATCAGTGAATGAAACAGACAAAATTCCTGTCCTTAAGGAGCTCTTCCTGTGGGAAAGAACAGATAGTAAGCAAGTAGCATGTGATATGTTAGTGTTAAATACTAAATAGAGAAATAAAGCAGAGAAGAGTGTTAGGAATTTTCTAATGTAGCTTTCTAATGTAATGTAGCTTTAACTTGGGTGATCACGGAAGGCATTTCTGAGGTGATATTTGTGGAGGAACTTGAAAAAGGGAATGGGTAAGCTATGCGGATATAGGTAAAGGGTATTGCAAGCAAAAAGAAAAATTAGATTAAAGGATTAGACTTGTTTTTTCACCCAGGAACTCTGCTTATTTGATGTATAGCAGAAGGTGAGTGTGGCTGGAGTGGTTTAGGGGTAAGTGTAGGGACTGATTATATCAGACAAGAAAAGTTGGAGGAGTAGGTTTAGATCACACAAAGCCTTGTTAAATCATTGTAAAGACTTTTTTTTAATAAAAGATTTATTTATTTATGCATACAAGAACTGGGGTACAGACCAGAGGTATGGGGGTGAGAGGATTCACCAGAGACATAGTGGGGAACAGAACAGTCAGATTGACCAAAATACACTGGTGGGGGAAGCAGCAGGTGAGTCAGGAGAGGTCTGCTGCGCCATGTTGGTCACCTCCCTGGCCAGGGATAGAACTTGTGCTTCAGTGGCTGCAGATAGCTTCATAGATTGCATCTTAACCCCTTGCACCACCAGGGAGGCCCCATTGTAAAGACTTAAGCTTTTACACTGATGAGAAGCTACTGGAGGAGTTTGAACAGAATGACATGATCTGAAAAATCACACTGACTACTGTTGAGAATAGCTGTAGGGATCTAGGATGGGATTAGGCCATTTGAGGCCTTTGCTTTAATTCAGGTAAGACATGATGGTTTCTTGGTTCATGGGCCTACTTGTTTAGTGGGTGAGATTTGATGAAACAGAGGCTGCATGACATGCAGTCATCTGTGCATTATGGATAAGAGGAATAGCTAGCTTGGTTAGACTTGCTGCAGGACTTATATGTGTTTGGAGAAGAATTAGGAGACCAGTGTGGCTAGAGTGGTATGAGTTGGGGTGGTGAATGGAGTAAATGGGTTAGAGTTCTCATGTTGGTCTTACATGTATTTTGAAAGTATAATTGATAAATTATTGTCATTCAAAAGAAACAAGGATGATTTAATGAATTTTAAACTGGCAACTGGAGGGCTTGAGTTGCCTTTTTAAAATTGCTTTAAATTAAGACAGGGAAGCTATTAGAGAAGCAAGTTTGGAAGGAAATACCTGGGATTTCATTTTGGACATGTTAAGTTTGAGAATTCCTATTGGATATCTATAAATTAATATGTGTGGTAGAAAAGGGTTGGAATTTAGTGATGAGAAAGGCTGGAGATTGAAATTTAGGGGTCGTCAATATATGAGTGGTAAGAGACTAGATGAAATTGCCAAGGAAGAGAATGTATTTTGAAAAGAAGAGTTCTAAGAACTGAACCCTGAAGCACTGATACCTAAAAAGTTAGGAGAAATCAGCTAAAGGGACTGAGAACAGGAACAGAGGAAAAAAGATGAAAAACCTGAGTTTCATGTCTTAGAAGTCAAGTATTTGATTTGATGTCCCAGAAGAAAGTATTTCAAGGAGTGACTGGGATGTCAAGTAAGAAGACTTGAATTGACCATTGTGTAGAATAATGACTATCTCTTTGAAGATTCTGATAAGGAGGAGTTTTGATGTAGTTGTGGTGAATATGAGTCTGATTGGAGTGAATTCAAGAGAGAATGGGAGGAGAGGACTTGAAGATGGTATATACAATTTGTTCAAAAAGTTTTGCTCTAAATGGAAAAATTGGTCAGCAGTTAGAGGGAAAGCTGAAGTTAAAGGTTTTTATGATCATGAGTATGATTGATATTAGATGGGAATGGTTATGTAGAGAGGAAAATGGATTAAATTAGAGAGGGAGAAAAGAATTACTAGAGTTGTGTCTTTGGGTAGCCATTAGCGGGTGGGGCTCATGTACACAAGAAGGCCTGGTCTTAGCAATGATCATGGAAGCTCATTTATAGCAATAGGAGAGAAGAGAGAGTATATGGATACAAAGACATAAAAATGTGGTTAAAATAGGAAGCAAGAGGCTTATCTGAAAAGCTAGGATGTCAGGAAAGAAAACATGTTGTAGGCTTGACCAGAGAAGATACAAAATAGTTATATGAATAAGGAGAGAGAATGGATATGGAAAATAGAGTATGATTGACAGGTCCTCTTTAGGCTAGTGGTGGTATACATAAAATGGGGTCAGCAATCATGGTTGTGTTTTTGTTTACTCTTTGAAGTATATCAAGTTAGATGGAGAAATTGGATTTAACGAGGGCTTTTGAAACTTCAGGTTTTTTCTTTTTTGAGAAATACTGCCCTTATAAAATACCACTTTCATATGTCATTTTTGATCCCTCCCCCCACCCCCATTTTTTTTCAGTCTGGCTTGTCAATACTAAATATCAGTGTGACAGGAAAGAAATGCAGCTAGTTCATAAGGGTACAAAAAACTGTTTATCATGTTAACTGCACCTATTAAGACAGATATTCTATATTGACATTATGACTGTAAATAGTACTTGAGTGAACAAAAAAATTAATGTACTTTTACCAACTCTGATATGAAAATGAGAATGTTATGAGACTAACATTTTTAGTTGAAATTTTACATGTACTGCATGTTTTTTTTGGTATTGCTTTTAATTATTTGTTTGAAAAATTATTCTCAATTTTAAATATGTCTGCTTTTATTAAATCAAATATAGTATATTTTAACAGAAATCTAGACTATTCTAATAAATTTTTTGAATGTCCATACAGAATCTAAGCTCATGTTATCTTCTCTAATTAGATCATATGCTATGTAAAATAATCTCCATTTCTTTGCAACAAGTATTGAGAATGTTTTCAAATTATTCCACTTAACGGTAGGGATTTTGTGAGGAAGAAGACGATTACAATTTTTGAACAGAACTGTTTAAATGAGTCATTTTGAATTTCTTTACATTATTTTTTCCTAATTTACTGAAGGATTCAAGTTTGGGGAGTGCCTTATAAAGTCTTTTATGACAAGATACATTTACTAGACATCAGTGCCTGCAAATTGAATTATCAGTACAAGTTGGGATACATTTGTGTTCATGTTTCTAAGTCTGTTTTTAAAGTCATTGAAATCATTTCCAGTAAAATACGGGCTTTCATTTTTTCAAATGAAAATAAATTATTTACAATAATATATAAACTAAGTAATGTATATATAAGAATAAGGGAGTAATTTGTCCTGAAGATGATTATGGAATACAACAAAGAAAGTGGTAATACTTCTCATAATGAATGAAGCAATTAAGAGTGAAACAAATCTCTCTGATTATACTTGTTTACATAGTAGCCTTTTTCATTACTGTTTTCAGGTAACACTGCATATAGTTAGTGTTGCTTTTTATTAATGAAAATGTTTCCTGTTATTCAATTAAAGGAATTCTATGTTTAGATAAAAATTGAAAAAAATATTTAAAAATATTCCCATTGGGAGGTGGTCTAATTCTTATTTTATTTTTTTAAAGGTTTATTTTTTTAAGGTTCTAAAAAACACTCCAGAATGCTACTTTATTGCATATCTGAAATGGAAATTTGATGATTTTTTTTTTAAGTAAAACTTGGCAAGATAGTAAAATTAATAGCAAAAAAGATAATTTTGTATTTGTATGATTTGAACTTTATAAAAATTGTTCTTTGAAAGGTTTTCAAATATGTGATGCTTTCTGTCCTCAGAAAAAGATGTTAACAGAACAGATCGAACAAACAAGTTTTATGAAGGCCAAGATAATCCAGGGCTGATTTTGCTTCATGATATTTTGATGACTTACTGTATGTATGATTTTGATTTAGGTAAGTTCTCCTCTAAAATTTAATTTTAAAAGATTGTAGGTATTTATTTTAGAATTTAAACTTACTAACATGTTAGACATATGTAATAACTCTGTGACCCAGTTTTTGTTGGGTTGTTTCCCATGGCCTGGAGACTTACAAGGATATGGTTTCCAAATTGTGTGCCTAGGAGCACTGGGTTGCAGCAGCTAACTCATGGTGGCAACACAGAATATTTCCAGGTTTTTTTTTTTTAAGATTTATTTTTATGCATACAAGAAATGGGGTGTAAGCCAGAGGTGCAGGGGGGTGAGAGGATTCACCAGAGACAACGTGGGGAGTAGAACAGGCGGATGTATTGAGATACACTGCTGAGGGGAACACTGGGCGAGACGGGAGCTCTGCTGTGCCATGTGGGTTCACTCCCAGGCTGGGGATTGACCTCATGCTGCAGTGGTTGGTGATAGCTTGATAGTGCTGAGACTTTAATCCCTACACTATCATGGAGGCCCTATTTCTAATTTTTGAAGGAAAGAGTGGTGACACATGTAGGACATTGTTCTGATGCCTAGCTGAAGTAGTTCAGGGTTTCAACACTAGATTGTCACATCCCTTCTGATGAAGTTATATCTCATTAATAGGAAGGAGACAAAAGGTTTTAGAAGTGGACTGAATTCAAGGAAGAATAATTTTTCGTTTATGCAAAGACACTATATGTTTATATGGGAGGTATCTTTTTTTACAGTGTATTGTTCATAATGATGATCCTTAATAACCAGTAAAAGGTTAAGTTATTAACCTTTGAATTAATACCTTTAAATTAAATACCTTTAAATTAAAGGTACAATATTGTAAGAATGAAAGGCAGTGTCTATTAAAAAAGACGCTTTCTAACCCCTAAGATTTTTCTTTGGTATTCCAGGGATAAGCTTCAGTTAACCTGGAAAATTGACCTACATGTAGATGAAATTTTTCTTTCCAGTTTAAAAAGGTGTACACTAGGATGATAAAGAGCTCATTTCTTACACCTCCCCACTGAAACAAATTTGCTATGAAAATAATTTTAGGGAAGTGCTTTAGAAATTGCAGTAGTGCTGATTAAGATGTTCATCCGTCAGCACCAGCATGGAGTCTGAGTGTCACTGAATGCTAAGTTAAACAGCTTTAATCTTTTTTTAATTAAAAGGAATTTGTACATTAATTCCACCCCCACAACTCATGACATACCCCAAAGAACATCATGTATAAAATAAAACAGATTAAAAGCAGCCCGAATATGAAGATTAATTTGACTACTTGCTTCAACTAAGACTTGTAGAGGAAATATGGTAGTGATCCCATATGAAGAAGACCCTAAAGGATTAACTTCTTGGAAATTTTTACTCATTCTGTCTTTATAATAAAGCACTTTTTTCCCCCCAGAGGAAAAGTGCTACTATGTAATCAGGCCCACAAAGTAATACTCTTTTGCTCTTGGTTGAACTCTTGTCAAATTTCCTTTGCATTTTAGTGTTAACCTTTATATTTGTCATTGTTTTCACTGTGTTAATGCCATGTAGGGAAGTTCTGATGATAACATTTAGTCTTCTTCCAGTCTCTTTATTTTGGTGTGAAGTGTTGTATTCATTAGGGTCTCCAGGTAAATAGAACTGTTAAAGTTTGGCAGAGAGCAATTTCTACTTTCCTCTACTTTTTGATTCTCTTTAGTTCCTCAGCAGATTGGATGATGCCCACCCACATTGGGGAGGACATTCTGCTTTATTCATTTCATCAATTCAAGTACAAATCTTCCAGAAACACCTTCACAGACAAGCCCAGAAATAATGTTTAAGCAGACATCTGGGCAGCCTGTGATAGGTTAATACAAAATTAATGATTATTTTCTTTTTTTTAATCAAAGGTTGTAATTATTGTCATGACTGGGAAATGACAACAGCATTCATAGAGAAGCTGGCACTTAGATAATCATGTTACATGCCATTTTTTTCCTGGCACTTTTCTCTAAATGTGTTGGTCTCTCCATTGTCTGTTACTGCAATGATAAGATGCTGGGTATAGGAACCCAAGTGTCTCCTTGTGCTACTGTGGGTAGAGTTATATTTTCCCATAGAATGTATAGTGTAGGCAGGGTCAGTTTGTAATAGGCATAATGGTAGAAGGCAGGGCAGAGGCTCAGCAGATTGAGCAAAATTTTTATTTATAAGGCAGTTGTGAGGTGATCTAAATGCCTCCCTCTATTATACATTTAATCTGAATTTTCTCAAGAAACTTTGGCTTACATGCTCTGTGGGGTAGTTTTTAAAGTTTTCTTCCAAAGTAGGAAGAATGATGGCATATTGTACATCATTTCTAGCAGAAATCACCCTCCCGCTTTAAATATATACTCTTTATTTATTTTTTTAAAATAAATTTTATTTTTATATTCCCCATATAATTGCAACCCCCTTATTTTGACCCCAATCCCTCCCCTCCCTGCCCTCCACCCCCCATAGTGTGTCTCTGGTTCATAGTTGTTTGTTGATTTTGATTTTCACTTTCTTATAGTTATTCATTTTCCTGGTCCCTTGTTTAAGTTTTCTAGTTTCCTGCTATGAGTGAGACCATCCGGTATTTTTCTTGTTCTTTCTGGCTTATTTCACTGAGCATGATCCCTTCCAGCGCCATCCATGTTGCTGCAAATTGCATGTGTTTATCTTTTTTGAATGCTGAGTAATATTCCATGGTGTATATGTACCACATCTTCTTGATCCAGTCATCTAATTTTGGGCATTTGGGTTGTTTCCAAAGCTTAGCTATTGTAAACAGTGCTGCTATAAACATAGGGGTGCAGGTGCTCTTTGGAATGGATGTTTCTGTGTCCTTTGGGTAAATACCTAGGAGTGGAATTGCTGGATCATATGAAAACTCTATGTTTAGTAGGTCCAGAAATCTCCACACAGCTCTTCATAGTGGTTGGACCAGTTTGCCACTCCCACCAACAGTGCAGGAGAGTTCCTTTTTCTCCACATCCTTGCCAACATTTGTTGTTGCTAGTTTTTTTAATATGTGCCATTCTCACTGGTGTAAGATGGTATCTCATGGTAGTTTTGATTTGCATTTCCCTGATTACAAGTGATGTTGAACATTTTTTCATATGCCTGTTGGCCATTTGCATTTCTTCTTCAGAGAAGTTTCTTTTTAGCTCTTCTGCCCATTTTTTGACTGGATTATTTTCTTTGTTGTTGAGTCTCATCAGCTCTTTGCAGATTTTTGTGATCAGTCCTTTATCATTAGTGTTGGGTGCAAAAATGTTCTCCCAGTTGGTGGGGTTTCTCTTTGTTTTTGTTATTGTCTCTTTTGCTGTGCAGAAGCTCTTTAATTTGATGTAGTCCCAGCTGTTTATCTTTGCCTTCACTATCACTGCTTTGGGTGATGTGTCTGTTTCACCTATATTTCCTTCTATGTATTTTATGGTTTCAGGTCTTATGTGTAGTTCTTTAATCCATTTTGAGTTGATTTTTGTGTATGGTGTGAGGTAGTGGTCAAGCTTCATTCTTTTGCATGTAGCGACCCAGTTTTCCCAGCACCATTTAAATATATGCTCTTTAAATGTCTTTAGTGCACACAGATTTGGAGGAGTGATAAGAGCATTTGCTTTAGATCTGTACATTTAAAAAAAAAGTTTTATTTATTTGTGCATACAAGAACTGGGGTACAGGCCTGAGATGCGGGGAAGTAAGAGGATCACCAGAGACAGAGTGGAGAACAGAACAGGCAGATTTACTGAAATATATGCTGAGGGTAGCAGTGGGTGAGTCAGGAGCGGTCTACTGAGCCATGTGGGTAGCTCCCTGGCCGGGGATCGAACTCATGCTGCAGTGGCTGCGGACAGCCCCATAGTTACATCTTAACCCCTTGCGCCACCAGGAAGGCCCCTGTACAATTTTTTTTTTTTAAATCAAGGGTTGTAATTAGTGTCATGACTGGGAAATTACAAGACCAATAAGAGAAAGGTGGTTAAAATGGCAGTTTATAGATACAAAATATTGATTTGATTAAACCCATTTGTTAACTTTGACTGGGTATAGAGTAATAAAAAAAGAAAAGGGAATATAGATACGACTATTTAAAAGAGGCACATAATTGTCTTGTGACTCTTTTTGTTTAGATTATCACTGATTTGGTTGCGAAACTGCTGGACCCTATGTAGTTCTTATTTTACTTGACTTTGATGCGGCTTGGCATGGTATACTACTCTGTACTTGCAGCTTTCTTTCCCTTTACTTTCACAGCATGCTCTTCCCTTGAGTTTGTGCTTTTATATTTGATGTTCCTCTGAGTTTTTTTCTTCACCGCTCTTTTTCATGAAGTTCTTGCACATTATTATTTTTCATTACCAAACCACACCCAACCAACAAGACACCTATAGTTCTCCACCATAGTCCGTTGGGTGCCCACCATACTCTGCTCTCCCCCGTCCACTTCTGGTAGCCTCAGTTCTACAATCAGGTTTCTAGGATTTGTGAATGGTTTGACTTTACCTGACCTTTGCTTTGTTTCTCAATATTCAACACATAAGTGACACCATTTCTCCTTCTGACTTAACAGTGTAATCCTCTCCAGTTCCTTCCATGTTGTCCAGAATGGCAAGAATTTATCTTTTTTTGTAGCTGACTAGTATTCCATTATCTGTGTATACACCACATCTTCCTATTCCACTCACCTGGAATTGGACACTTAGGTTGTTTACAAAACTTGGCTATTGTAAATAGTGTTGCTTTGAATAAAGAATTGCACATATTCCTTTAATTGGTGTTTTTACATTCTTGGTAGAATGCCAAGGTAGGTACCCAGGGGTGGAGGTTGATACCTAGGAGTGGAGTTGTTGGATCATATGATAGATGTATACTTTTAATATTTTGAGAAATCTTTATACTATTTTCCATTGAGGCTGGACTACTCTACACTCCTACCATCATTGAATGAGGGTTCCTTTTTCTCTACATTTTTGCCAACACTTCTGTTTCTGGTCTTTTGATAATGGACCATTCTCACTGGAGTGAGATGATATTTCATTATGGTTTTGATTTCTTGCACATCATTTTAAAATAATATTACCCACTCCTAATAGTGATGTCTACACTGAGACATACTAGCGGCTGTGTATTTGCTTCAGTTTCATTTAAAATAACTCATCATTCTTTTCTTGGTGAATATCAATATCTATCCCCCCCTTTTTTTTAAAGATTATTTATGCATACAAGAACTGGGGTGCAGGCCACAGGTGCCGGTGGTGAGAGGATCCATCAGGAACAGAACAGGCAGATTGACTGAAATATACTGCTGAGGGGAGCAGCAGGCGAGTCAGGAGAGGTCTGCACCATGTGGGTCACCTCCCTGGCTGGGGATTGAACTTGTGCTGCAGTGGCTGCGGACAGCTTCACAGTGCTGCGTCTCAACCCCCTGCGCCACTAGGGAGGCCCCCCTATCCATTTTGACACCAAAGAAAAGACAGAATTTTGGGACCTCCCTGGTGGAGTGAGGGATTAAGTCTTAGCACCCACTGCAGCACAAGTTCGATTCCCTCAGGGAGGTGACCCAGATGGCACAGCAGACCTCTCCTGTCTTGCCCGCTGCTCCCCTCAGCAGTGTATTTCAGTCAATCTGCCTGTTCTGCTCCCCACTCTGGTGAATCCTCTCACCGCACCCCTACCCCCTGCACCTCTGGCCTGAACCCTAGCTCTTATATGCATAAACAAACAAACATTAAAAAAAGATAGAATTTAAGTGAAATGCTGGTGATATGCACAAAGAGAATATGTAAAGTTTCGGTTTTCAGAGACATGATTCTTTTCCCCCCTTTTCTTAGGATATGTACAAGGAATGAGTGACTTGCTTTCCCCTCTTTTGTATGTGATGGAAAATGAAGTGGATGCCTTTTGGTGTTTTGCCTCCTATATGGACCAAATGGTAAGAACAGGAGTTCCTCCCTTTAATCAACTGAATTTGAAATTTGTAATTGTATTTTATCTTATTTATATAAGAATGATATTTATATTTAGTTATTTATGATAGAACTTAAAAAAATTGACTCAAGTCTCTTGTTTATTTCTTTTTAAAAATAGCCTTTTCAAGAAACTGAGAGATACTGGCATTATTTTTAATACAAAAAGTAGTTAGTAAATATTTGTAGAGCTGGAATAATAAGGATTTAATATTGGTAAATGCTTATGTTCTGCCAAAGAGCCATGAGTCATTAAAGAATAGTGATGAAATAGATGAATTCAGTTCTTGTGAAGTAGTTGAACTTTCATATCTGTTTCAGAGATAAAGCTTAGTCATGCAGAGTAATATCCTTACCTTTTGTGAACATTTTGGATTTTGTCATTATAGTAACTGATTTTTCTCCAGATGTGTAATGATTTGTAATGCTGACACTTTCTTAGTAATTTGCTATTATTTTTTTCTGAAGCATGTGATTATTAGAGTTGAACTCTTTCTATATATACATATTAGTATGAAGTACATTTTATCTTATCACTGATACATTTTCTAAACAATTCTAATACAATAATATAGAGAGACTATTAGCAGGGAAATAAAATAGAACAGTCTTCTCAAGTAATCTTTTGCAAAAGAAAAAAATAGCAGAGGGTCTAAGTGTAGATAAAAGCATATGAAATCCAGAGACCTGACCTAATAGGTCACTGAAACTGTTTAAAAATAAACCTGCTAATATACTTGATGCTCAGCCTTTGGTGCTGGATATTGAAGTAGCATTCTTGCAAGGGATAAAGATTTTGAATATGTAATCATGTAAAATGTTTCCCTGTAGTATATGTTTTTACTCAGTAACAACCTGAAATTTGCAAGTGGTTGGTACCCTTCTCTTTTTTGTTTATCCCTTGCTTGCCTATTTTTCTTTCTTCTTTCAATTTTTCTCACTTTTATCTCCTATCCATAGTTCTAACTCATCCTCACTTCTCCTAGTCCTTTTCCAAATACATATCTGATAAGATTTAAAAGTTTTTAAATGTTCTTTTAACTATAAAATTAATAAATATTCAAGTTTCTTTGTCCTTTACCTGAATTAGTGTATTTGGGTTATTTGGAAGGATTATTAAATACAGTAATCTGGTAATATCATAGTTTATCTTTTTTACCTTTTTGATTGATTTTACCTGCCTTCTTAGTTCCAATTACTCCCAAGTGCTCTAGAAACCTGAGGCATTTGTTATAAAGGTCTGTACAACTGATACTAATTTTTTAAAAACTGTTGTCTGCTTTCATTGTGATTTTGTTGTTTCTCCTCTTTTCAATAGAGCTAATGTTTCTTGACAAAGGGATCATGTCTGTTTAGCTAGTTCTCTAGTATGCTTCCAGAATTTTCCTATTGCCTGACATGAGGTTTTTGTTCAACAGATTTTTCTAGAATAAACACATGGATATTTCCCCAGAGCTTAGTTTAGATCTCTGCTTGTGGTGTAGATTCCAAAAGAATTGACATAAACATACAGAATTAGCTTTTTACAATATTTGTTTTCATAAAACTGAACCAATATTAGTATGTTCAAATACATTGTTTTATTATGCCAAATATATACATACATGCATGTATACATGCATATATGTGCATGCATTTAACTCAAATCTAAAAAAAACTTTCTGAATATCTGTAATATCTGTCATTTTTGTGTATGAAGGTTCAAGTTCTTTGTGTTTTTCACAGTAAATGTTTTCTGTGTTTGCCTTTTCCATTGAGATGGTCTGGGGATTTTTCTGGTCTTTATTCTAAAAAGATCTCTTAATATAGTGTATTTGTCTACTAAAATCTTTTTTTCATAACAGTTGAAAGAAAGGGTAATACGTCATAGTGAAAATAATCTGTATGGTTACTTTTCACTGCATAGCTATTGTTTTGGTGTCCTTAAATCTGGGCTGCTGCTGTTTGACTACTTTTTGTTTCACAGCTTTATTTCATGTAAGTTTTCACCTCTTTTGTGATGGCTGAACCTAATGTTCATAGATTTATTTTTGTTGATATTTACTAACATCTGGTGTAGGTTTAGGCAAAGACTTTGTTATTATGGAAATATTTGCAAAATGATCTAATGAACTTTCTTATATCTGCCATCCATTTTGCCATATAGTCTAGTCCCTCTCTTCTCCTCACTCCCCTCCCCATTATGTTCATATATATTTATTTACAGATATAGCTGAAGCCTTTGTATATCCATTGTTGATCTTATTTCCCCTTTGCTAGGACTAGCTACTTTTCTGAAGTTGGCTTCCGTTATTTTGGGAGTGTTTCTTTTTATAGCAGGGTGGCTAGTAAGGGCTATGCCATGTTGGTGCTCCCAAACCAACTCAGGCCTTTGTCTGTGTCACAGTGAGAACTATGCTGTTAATCAGAGTTAATTCTGCCTTTCCCTACAAGTTCATCTGGTAGATATGCAGAAACTGTATCCCGGTAGCTTGCATTAATCTGTTAAATTGTTGCTTTAAATCATTGAAACCAGTTTATTAAGAATCATAGCCTTTAAATATATTTACTATTATATAAATATATATTCTTTTACCAAGCATATTGCTTTCTAATCTGATAGATTTTCTAATCAAGCACTGTTAAGATCTCTAAAACTAAAAAAGAAGTGTGAAGGAGATGCTGTTCCTAATCTTTGCACAAGTGTTTGGGCAGTAGGTCACCCTAGAGGGGTTGGGACATATGTGTTAAAGAGATTATAATCATCCAAGAAGCCTTCAAAGTCTCTTGTAATATCACATATCATAGCCTTTTACACTTGTGGAAAATTTAAAGTGTAAAATGCGGATGATGTTTTAATATTGTAATGAGAATGGCTTTGATTTTACAGGATCCCTAATGTCATCAAATCTAAGAAATAGTTAATTCTTTAAAATGAGTCACATGTTCAAGTTATAATTAGTTTTGTTGCATATGATAATTTGAAGAAATATTTAACAATGGAAAGTGATTTGATAAAAGTTTATTTTCCAGATGTGTGGTCCTGTCTCTTATTTGATATAAAGACATAAGTATACCCTATCAGTCAGTCTGCTGCTGCTGTCTATGTATTCTTTATCTAAACCAAATGATAAGAGGGAAAAAGTAATCCTTAGTTTGATACCAAGGGTTTTTTTTATCCATTCCTTTTTAATGTTGCTTTAGCTTTTTAATTAGTTGAGATTTTTAAAAAAGCATAACTAATGTGGTATAAGTCCAGCATTTGTCCTTAGACTCGTGTTTTAGTTATCAGCGACTATGTACTATACTACAAAATATTGATAACAATTGCTTATGTGATAATATTCATTTCCTTTTAAAGCATCAAAATTTTGAAGAACAAATGCAGGGCATGAAGACCCAACTAATTCAGCTAAGTACCTTGCTTCGATTGTTGGACAGTGGATTTTGCAGCTACTTAGGTACGTTTAGTATATCGAAACAATACCCAGCAGAATTTAGGATAATACACAGAAAAAATATAAAGACATACATTTTAAAGACATACAACTTTACTGCTGTTGACTGGGTTCCTTTGAGGAATGAAAGTGTAGAACCAAGCAGATTGTCTTTGTATAATTCTGCCTTAAAAAGCAGTATTCATAAAATGAATTATTTGTTGTTATTGGTTATTTTTCTTTTGAAGAAGTTAGCCTGCAAATTTGTATTGTTTTTTGATTTAGTAGAAGGCAGTTAAAGATACAGGACTTCTAATAGTCTAAGATGCAAAGAATAATTTGAGTTTGAAGTAGGTCTGAAATAATTAACTTAAGAGTAAGCCATGTATATTTCTTCTGTATAGAATCTCAGGACTCCGGATACCTTTATTTTTGCTTCAGATGGCTTTTAATCAGATTTAAAAGGGAATTTAGTTTTCTGGATATTCTTCGATTATGGGAGGTAAGTTCTTACATTATTATATTGATCATGGAATGAAAACATTCATTGTGGGGTATAAATGAATTGTAATAGTCTGAAATTCCTAAAGGCAAGTAAGTTACAAAATTCTGATGGTTTTGTAGTGTCCTCTTAAAAATTAATCATCTTGAACTGGATGGCTGGTCTTTGGAACTTTTTTCTATTTATCATAGTTTTATGAGATTTGGGGCCAGTAGGTTTCCCAGAACCATTTCTCTCTCTAGACTGTTTGTGTTCTTTCCTGGGAGACTTGACTTTATGTGAGACTTTTGCTATGTTCTAATACAGGTTTATACAGAGTTCAAGGAAGCTTTGCTACACCATTCAGTTGAGATGACTTTTTTGTAGTCAAAGGTTTTGGGAGAGAACTGACATTCATTTTTCTTTCTTCTTCTTCTTTTTTTTTAAAGATTTATTTATTCATACAAGCACTGGGTACAGTCAGAAGCGTGGGAGGGTGAGAGAATTCACCAGAGCCAGAGCGGGGAACAGAACAGGCAGACTGACGAAATACACTGCTGAGGGGAGCAGCGGGCGTGGCAGGATAGGTCTGTTGCACCAAGTGGGACCCTCACCGGTGGCCGGGGATCGAACCGGCGCTACGAGGCTGCGGGCAGCTTCGCAGCCCAGCGCTCAACCGCTGTGCCACCAGGGGAGGCCCTCATTTTGCTTTTTATTAAAAAAATTTAAGTTGGAATAAAATATTAAGACTGATAGAGCAAACAAATATGGAATTTTGCCAAATTTACTTCTTTTTTCTCTTGCTCCAAGAAATAAAAAAAAAGATATAGCTAGTGTTGGTAATTACTGCTCCAAGTCCCATTTCTTTGTCCCTGTTGTAGAGGATATTCATGGTCATTTTTTTTTTTTTTAAGATTTTTATTTAGTTATATATGCAAGAGCTAGGGTACAAGCCAGAGGTGTGGGTGGTGAGAGGATTCACCAGAGACAGAGCACGGAACAGAATAGGCAGATTGACTGAAGTACACTGCTGAGGGGAGCAGTGGGCAAGCCAGGAGAGGTCTGCTGCGCCATGTGGGTAGCTCCCTGACCGGCCGAGGATCGAACTTGTGCTGCAGAGGCTGCAGACAGCTTCACAGACTGCATCTTAACCCGTGCGCCACCAGGGAGGCCCCAGGGTCATGCTTTTGATACATATCCTTTTTATTTCATTTTGTACCCAGGATAACTCTTCATGAAAAATAGAAAACAATTGTTTTCTTCTCAGATATCTGTTAATTATTAACAGGGCTATGTCCTTTTAAAATGGAACATTTATATAATGATTGTTTGTTACCTAGTCTTTTTTTTTTTTTTTTTAAAGATTTATTTATACAAGCACTAGGTATAGTCAGAAGCGCGGGAGGGTGAGAGAATTCACCAGAGCCAGAGCAGGGAGCAGAACAGGCAGAAGGACTGAAGTACACTGCTGAGGGGAGCAGTGGGTGGCAGGAGAGGTCTGCATGCCATGTGGGACCCTCGCCGGTGGCCTGGGATGGAACCGGCGCTGCAGAGGCTGCGGGCAGCTCTGTGTTTGAGAAATGGGGAGTAAAATCTACATGTTCTTGACATGGAATATGTTTATCAATTTTAAATTAGTATCTCAACTTCTATTTTAAAGGGTGAGTTGGGAATACTTTCACCACAAGCTATGTAATCCCTCAATCTGTGTTTATCAAATAAATCATAATGTTTAATGAAATTTTTGAGGTTAATTGCATTGTAATTAAGCTTTCAAAAATTGGATTTAGTCTGAAAATTATTCAACTCGATTTACTTCTGGTGAAAGAAATAAAAACATTTTAAGTATGCTTTAATAGTATTGTATTGTCCATGGGGTCTTTTTATCTTTCAAAAAAGATACTAGGAATATTAACTAGAGGAAAATTAGGACCTTTCAACATTTGAAAGAATTACTGATAATTTGAAAGAAATGCAGCTTTTGAGTAAATGTTAATTTATATGCTTGGGTGTGAATTTTGGGTAGTTGATTAAGCTTTTGTTACAGTCAGTGATACTCTAAATTAAATAATATGATGCTTATAATGTAAAGCTATCTCTAGTTTTTGATTCTATGTACTGTGTAACTGAGGCCTTTTTATTTCAAGACTTATATATTTTTTTTTTTTAAACTTCAGGGACTGAAGATAATTTAAAAATGAGAAACTGAAAGTTAAAAAAAATATGAAAATGCCTGTAGCACTTTTCTCTAACTCTTTTCACCTTAAACTTAACTTGATGACTGTGGCTTCTAAATACAATTTATCATATTGATTAGGCTCACTGATTTGCTTACTGTAGTTACTAAAGAATCGTATTGAAATTAATCTGAGGTATACAGTGCTAAATTTGTTGTTGTTTTGTAGGTAAAAAGTAAGACTTCCTTTCTCCTGTCCATCATTTTATAACTAGAAAAATGGCAGACTATTTCATCTAAGCATCTTCTGCTTTGCATGGAAGTCATTCAGAGTTCATCACTGTATCTGTGGAGGAAAAGAGTTTAGAAATGATATAGTTCACTAAATGGTTGTTCTGTTTTTGTAGGTAATGTGGACTGATCTACCATGTAAAAACTTTCATCTTCTTCTCTGTTGTGCTATTCTGGAATCAGAAAAGCAGCAAATAATGGAAAAGCATTATGGCTTTAATGAAATACTGAAGGTAGTTATTGCTTTAATGTAGACTCTTTATTTTTATTATTTATTTATATTTTTTTCCTTTTTAAAGATTTATTTATTTATACAAGAACCAGGGTACAGGCCAGATGCGTGGGAGGGTGAGAGGATTCACAAGAGAAAGAGTGGGGAACAGAACAGGCAGACTGACGAAATATACTGCTGAGGGGAGCAGCGGGCGAGACAGGAGAGGTCTGCCATGCCATGTGGGATTCTCGCTGGCCGGCTGGAATCGCACCCGCGCTGCAGAGGCTGAAGACAGCTTCACAGTGCCGCACTCACCGCCTGTGCCACCATAGACCCATAGACCCCTTTTTTAAAGACATTTATTTGTGCATACAAGATCTGGGGTATAGGCCAGAGGTGTGGAGGGTGGGGTGAGAGGACTCACAAGAGACAGTGTGGGTTGCTCCCTGGCCGGGGTTCGAACTCGTGCTGCAGTGGCTGCGGTTAGCTTCTTAGGTTGTGTCTTAATCCCTTGCGCCACCAGGGAGGCCCAGTAATGCTTTCAGTTTTATCATTTTATTTTATTGATTCATTTTAGCATATCAATGAATTGTCCATGAAAATTGATGTGGAAGATGTGCTATGCAAAGCAGAAGCAATTTCTCTACAGATGGTAAAATGCAAGGTATACAATGTTTTGAAAGCAATTGACTTATTATGCTAGATAGGAAACATGAGACAAAATGGCAAAAGTAATGAAAACATTTCTACAACTAAAGAGACTGTAGAAATTAAGCATTGATACATTATCCAACTGAGTTGGTGAATACAGAATAGGACCTCAAAGTAAATATGTAATACCCTCAAATAAAGACAGTTTCTAATCAGAATTAATTAAATGAATAGCATTTAGTCTAAGTTATTACATTTGTATCAGTCAAATTCTTATTTCAAAAGAATGAGGCAGATATGTATTATGATCTGAATTCAAACCAAATCATATGGTTGATATATTTTGGCTTTCACATTTTTATGACAATTCTTATTTGGTCGTTGTGTCATTTGTTCAAAACACTTATTTTGGTGTAGATCTTTTATTTGAGAGCTTCTGTTCAGTACATGTGAGCGAGATACTTCTTACCTATAAGAAGTATTACTGGAGAAAGGTGGTATAAAGAAGATGTAATAACAAGAATGGAATCAGTGCTAAACATTAGAAAATAGTATTTATGGGAATGGTACAGTGTTGTAGAAGAGTGACGAATTCAGAATAGATCAGGGAGCCACTTACGAAAGATTTAATTGAAAGTGGTTGAGATTTCATTTGGAAGGGAGATGTGAAGTTTGAGAGCGTGCACAACAATTATACAGCTGGACGAATGGTTTAGATTCTGGAATCATATAGTCTTAAATAGAAGTGTTACCCTGTGATTACTTTTTTTCTGTAGTGAATGATGATTTTGCTTTTGCTTTTCCATATTCAGGAATTACCACAAGCAGTTTGTGAGATCCTAGGACTTCAAGACAGTGAAGTTACAACACCAGATTCAGACACTGGGGAAGATGAAAATGTTGGCATGATTAGTTGTCCTACGTCTGTGTTCCAGAGTAATTCCTTGCCTGTACATGCTGCCAGTGGAACCAGAGATGACAACCCAACACAGATATCAGTGTCCCCAAATGTCAGCAGATTAACACCTGCATGATCATTCTTCTTGCTTAATTTTTGAAGAGACACTCTGTTGCAACTCATTTTTAAGTACTTGAAAGGTGGAAATTTGAAATCTTGGTATTGATCATGCTTTAAGGTTTATGGAAAGAAAGTGTACTGATGTCCTTGCATTAAAGCTTTACAAAGATTTAAACTAATTATTTTTGTAGTTACTTCTACCAAATAGCCTTTCCTTTTCAATAACATTCCTTAGTATTTTTATAGCCAAGTACATGTTACTTTCTTGCTGATGAACTGGAATTGGACAAATATTGCAAGTGGATGAGCTGAAAATTATGCACTTTGAAAAACATTCACATTGTTTACTCTCAGTTGAGTGGGTTTTGAATTGATTAAATTAAATGTTGAGCCTTTCTATAGCATTCTAAGCTGAGAAGTAGATTGTTACCCAGTGACGAAATAAAATATTTTTTTCCTGTTGTTTACAACAATACTCAGCTGAAATATTTATGCTGGTTCAATATGATTTAAATTGGACATTTTCATCAATGCAGTTGAATGTGTAGATAACAAGCTATTTCAACCATACTAAGTGGATTGGCAGTATATTTTTTACACTGAACTTTTCTTCACTTGTGTATAAAGCTATATAAGTACGTATTTATGAGTATAAGAAAGAATAGCCATATTTTCTTTAACTGAATAAACTTGACTTGATTTATATAACCTGATTTGATGAAATTAATACATATCTTCAATATGAAATCTTTTTCAAAACTATTTTCTTAACCAAACATTTATTTCATGAGACTACATTCAACCCTGTACCTGGTATAATTTTAAAATTAATTGCTTGTAACCTCACTTTACTAATAATGTTTATTATCTTTCCTAATAATGCATTAACTGATTAATCAGGTCTTCAAATTTTTATAAAATACTCTTTGCAAAACGCTTGTCAGAAATTTCAAGATATCATGAGTCTCAATACTTTTTTGTATATGAACGAAGCTATTGTTTTTACCATGCAGTGTTGCATGATTTTAAGTTATGTGGAATTAACATAACTGATTTCATTTTAACTGTAATTTGTTAAACCTGTACATATTATTAAAATAAATTTGAAGTTGAAGTAGTGTTTTCAGTTAAATTATACTTATAGTCTGTTAGTATTTCATCAGAAGAAAAAGACCCAACATGTACCTCAGTACTTCTCTTATTTTTATGTGTTTAAAACACTTATTTGAATTAGGTGTGGAAATGAGAAAGTAAGAAGACCCTTTTGTAACTAAAAAATTTTTTCCATCAGCATGAAATTGATCGTAGTGTTGCCTTGGGATATAGTTATCTGATTCAGTAAAGCAACTTCCTACAATGCATAGTAATTCATAGTAATTATGTAAACTAAAAGTTACGCAGTTGTAAAAATTGTCCAGTAGAGATTTTTTTTCTCATAAAACTAGGGAATTAAATGAAGTTTTCCCTATTTGAGCATTAACTGAAAATCATGACGGTAGAACCATTAGACTTTAGTTTTTTAATATTATGTGTTATCTTTTATCAGTTAATAATAAGTAAGCCTATTCAGAAAAAAAGTAAGCTGATCAAAAACTCAGCATCTCCAGCCTTTCATTTCCTGCACTTCAGGAAATTGCCCAGACCATCTTGATGTTCTTCTTGTTCTTTCAGGACGGTGGCTTTTGGGGGGTGAGTTTCCTATACGTAATGTAATATCTACTTCAGAATTTAAAAAAAAATCTTTGTACATTTAGTAAGCTGAACTTTTGTTAAGTGTTACTATAAGACTATTTGTTAGAATTGTTTTGCTAAACAATCTGCATTTCTATCACATTTTTGATATGAAAGTGATAATAATACAATGTTAGATAAAGTCTTAATCAGAGTTCACAAAATCCATTTAGCAAATAGTATGTAAACTTAAGCAATTGAGATTGCTAAGATAGATAGTTCAGGTAAATTTTAGTCTAACTTTTTAAAGATTGTTTCAGTTCACAAGATGCTCTATCCCTGATGACTGAAAATATGTGCCATATTATATGATAAAGTGTTTAAAATCCAAGTAATTTCTGACTATAAAAAGTTTTTTCAATTGTGATGTGAGTCCATGGGAAACCTTTTTGCATTTAAGAACCTTCCTATTTTGATCTTTTCATGTGACTAGGATTCTTCATCTCTGTAAATGTTAAGAATTTTAGTCTTGGTGATGACTAAAAGTTTTTATTCAGTAAAAGCAAAACGGCCTGTTGAAATAGTGATTCTTACTGTATTTCACATTTTGAAGGGCTTTTATGGGGACCAACTAATTCTTATGGGAATTCATGTATTTATGCCCATTATAGTTTGTATTAAGTTACTCAAAGTGTTTATTGAAGAATTTAAAACTTCATATGATTTGTGTGTAACTCTTAACAAGGTAACATTATCCTAGCTTGGACTTCTTTGCTTGGGGTTTTCAGAGGGTTCATGAACCTCTTAGTGTATATGAAGTTTTGCATGCATACACACGTATTTTGGAAGAGAGGTCACATAGTTGTATTATAAGCTGCTCTGATTTCTCCCAAAAGTTGAGAACTGTTGTTATAAATTATTTACTATGAGAATGACAATCTGTGACCCCATGTTGATGATTTTATGTGCCAAATCTTTGTTAATTAAAATATCTTCAGAGCACTCATTTCCAAATCCTTGGTTACTATTAACAAAATACAGGTGCCAGCTCTTACTTATTTAGAACTACAAAATCAGAATCTTAGAAAGTGATGTCAACAAATTTGCATTTTAATAAAAATGCAGGTGGTTCTTGGGCCTCCTTGAAATTAAGAGAATTAGCCATCATGTATTATGTTTCATAGGTTAACATTTTGACCTATAATCTGGTAGGTAAGTATCAAAATTTAAGAAAATAGCTTCTTGATTTTCTGAGGTGAATTTGCCCTAGATCTGGTCACCATTTGTAGTAAAAATGACAATACTCATCTTAGTCTATGCAGATTTTTTTTAGCTTTTTTTTTTTTATATAGAGGCATGTTTTATTTATTTGTTTGTTTTGTTTATACATGCACTGGGTACAGTCAGAAGCGCAGGAGGGTGAGAGAATTCACCAGAGCCAGAGCGGGGAGCAGAGCAGGCAGAAGGACCGAAGTACACTGCTGAGGGGAGCAGCGGGCGGCAGGAGAGGTCTGTGCGCCATGTGGGACCCTCCTCTGGTGGCCGGGGAGCAGCCTGGGATGGAACCGGCGCTGCAGAGGCCGCGGGCAGCTTCGCAACCCAGTGCTCAACCTCTGCGCCACTGGGGAGGCCCTTTTTTAGCTTTTGAAAACACTTTTAGTGTCACTTTACTTTTGAATATGAACCAGAATTAAATTAGAAATGAATCTGAAAGTTTCCATCAGTATCTAATATCATTGCTTTATACTAAACATCTGCACCTATTTGTACTTTTAATGTAAATATATTGCCATTTGAATGATGCAACGTATTTTGACCTATTCTCCACTCAGATCCTTAACATGGGGATTTTAAATTGTAGAAGTCTTGCATGCATTCACACATATTTTGGAGGAAAAGTCACATAGTTGTATTATAAGCTGCTTTGATTTCGGATTATAGTTATTTTTCTCACTGTTATGTAAGTAGATTCCTGTTTTTATCAGACTGTGTTGACACAGGGAAACAACAATGTCAGCCTTAAAAGTGTAGGTGGGATGGGACATTTAGACTTGACATACTTCTATAACTATTTGGATATCCGAAGCACCCCTTTCAGCTCATGGGAAATCACAGTTTACAAATGCACTGTAAAGAAAAGCTGATTAAAACCAAAGTCTAAAAATTATCTGAAATCAGGAAAATCATTTGCCTAATATAAGTCAATCACTAAAATTAGAATATTAGAATGATAGAAGGTAAGTTACTGAACATACTTCTTCCTCAAAAATGTTGCTTTGCACATACCTGCAAAAGAATGACAAGGAAAAAAATTCCAACTTGTCATCAGGGAGCAGTCTAGTTTTGGTTCAGCTTTGTAAATTAAGACAACACTAACATCAGAAATGGGTTTTTGCTAGGACAGTCAATGTTTCTATCACCAAACTGGTCAGGAGCAAGATCCCCAGACTTTAAAAAGACAAATAGTGCTGTTTTCAGATTGCTTTAGATGTAGTATGGGCCGATTTGTACAAAGAACTACAATCTCTTCCATGGGTATAACAGGCTTACTTTGTACAGCAAAGTGCTCTCCAGCGGAGAGGACATCTAGGTACCTCTGAGTGCTCATCATTTACATGGCTTGCTACGTATACTGTTGGACACTGCCTCATATATGTAGAACACTCAAAGCAGATTTGGACCACATATTTTTGTTAACCAAATCAAATTTTTTTTTTTTTTCTAAATATGTTTTGATTTTTTTTAAGGTTTATTTATGTATACAAGAACTGGGGTACAGGGCCTCCCTGGTGACACAAGGGTTTAAGAAGCAGCCTATGAAACAAAATGAAGCCTCTGCAGCGCGAGTTCGATTCCTGGCTGGCCAGGGAGCAACCCACATGGTGCAGCAGACCTCTCCTGCCTCGCCCGCTGCTCCCCTCAGCAGGGTATTTCAGTAGATCTGTCTGTTCTGCTCCCCACTCTGTCTATGGTGAATCCTCTCACCATACTGCACGTCTGGCCTATATCCCAGTTCTCGTATGCATAAATAAATAAAATAAATCTTCAAAAGAAAAAAAGAACTGGGGTACAGGCCAGAGGTGTGGGGGGGTGTGTGTGTGAGAGAGGATTCACCAGAGACAGAGTGGGAAACAGAACAGGCAGATTGACTGAAATACACTGCTGAGGGGAGCAGCGGGCAAGACAGGAGAGGTTTGCTGTGCCATGTGGGTATCTCCCTTGCCGGGGATCGAACTCGTGCTGCAGTAGCTGTGCATAGCTTCATTTGTTGCATCTTAACTGCTTATACCACCTGGGAGGCCCTGAATCAAATGATAAATGAACCAAATAGAATATTTGCTGATTAGGAAGTCATTTTAGGAGATAACAGCATCTATCCCAACTAGAAAAAGTTAAGACTTAAGCTTTCTGAGTGAAATTATTTAAGTACTTTTACTTCTTGTGCTTTCGCTGCAGTAGAAATTCTTTACACATGTAAGAAGTAAAAAGTTAATTCTAAAACTGAATTTTGTTAAATTGCTTAATTTAACCTCAACTTGTGAATAACTTTGGGACAAATGTTTGTTCTTAGTCTACAGAGTTTGTAAGGATGCTGACTAAAAGCTAATGAGCTTCCCCAAGGGAAGAGAAACCCAGACTCAGAGCTGTCACTTCTTCACATTTTATTAACAGTGTTTCTGAACTAGTCTTTAAGCTTTTTGTTTAGTATGACTTCCCACAAAGTTTTGATTGGTGAAAGAGGAAAGAAGAATCCTTTTCACTGACATTTTATACCTAAGAAGGGTAACAAAAGAAAGCCTAGCTTCATAAACTACAACTTACAGAGCAGACGACTTAGTCTTTGTAGAGGCACATCTTCTCTTAGGAAGGAATGTAAAGAATAAGAATGCAACAACTGAGACCCAGTGGATCGAATTCAAGGGCAGAATACTAAGTCTGAGCAGAATCCTTTTTCCTAATGTACTTCTTGGTCCTAACAACTGAATCATTCTGGAGATGAGAGTCCATCTCTCCCTTTCAACAAACTGTGGTAGAGAATGAGATTCTTTACTCCAGAAATTTCCATTTCTTTTGGTCACTTGAATTTGATTTTGCAATGCTCTGCACATATCTACATTATTGAGTTTTACCTCTATTCTGTAGTTCAGAATTCTAGAAGGGTGGGGCTTTAATTTGTGAGAGGACTCATAATTTTGAGTGTTTCATTTGATAGCTTCACAGTGGCGAGTTGTGCTGATTGGTGGTACGTCTGGACAAGTAATGCAGCTTGCTAAGGCATTTGTTTTCTTGGTCAGACCAAGGTGGCTCAGGGTGGTGTGCAAATGCTTGGGTAACCTTGTAAAATGCTTTGTCATCTTTTCATGGCCATAAAGTGTATCCTGTAAGACCTGGGAGTCAGATATCAGACAAAATTCAGTCAAACTGATTGAATTTTTCGAACTAGA